CTCCTCTCCCAAATGACAGGGAAGTAAGACACCAGAGAATTCTCATCCCCAGCTCTGGCAGTGGTCGGGTGGCCTGTGAGTCTAGGGGCTCAGTAAGCACTGAGAAGTAAACTGTCAGTCTCTTCCTACTGCAGATACTCCCGGTCTCCCCATGAGGGGTTCTGTCGGCCCCCCTCACTTGCTTAGGGATGAGCCCGTAAGAGAGGGGAACCCCCAGAGCATACTCCACTCTTCTGAATTTCCTACCTTCCTCTCTTTTCTTTTTTTAAAGTATGGTTGATTTACAATACTGTGCTTGTTTCAGGTGTACAGCTAAGTGATTTGTTTATACATATATATATCTATATTCTTTTTCAATTCTTTCCCATTATAGCTTGTTACAAGGTATTGAATACAGTTCCCTGTGCTATACAGTAAGCCCTTGTTGTTTATTTTATATATAGTACTGTGCCTCTGTTAATCCCACACTCCCAATTTATCCCTCTGCCGCTTCCCCTTTGGTAACCATAAATTTGTTTTCTATGTCTATGAGTCTGATTCTGTTTTGTAAATAAGTTCGTTTGTGCTATTTTTTTAGATTCCACATGTAAGTGATAGCATATGCTATTTGTCTTTCTCTTTCTGACTTACTTCACTTAGTGTGACAATCTCTAGGTGCATCCATGTTGCTGCAAGTGGCATTACTTCATTCTTTTTTATGGCTGAGTAATATTCCATTGTATATATGTACCACATCTTCTTTATCCATTCCTCTGTCAATGGACACTTAGGTTGCTTCCATATTTTTATGGCTGTCTCCATGCAGACAGGGGCTAGGTGTGCTCCCCTTGTCACGTAACAGCCTGGCAGTGACTCCCCTGGGCGTCTGGTGACTGTTGAAGAGACAAGTGTGGGAGGGGCCCCCAAGTCCATCCTCTCTCTCCACTCTGGGCTATCTCTTGCTCCGTGTGCTGAGCTGGCTACAGTCTCCTGTTGCTCAACCAACACTTCCTTTGAGCCTGGTCTTCCAATCCTCCCAAATGCCTTTTTGACTTCGCCGACTGAACCAGTGGGCTGTGCACTCACTCAAGCAGCGAAACTGCTGGTGGAGGCGTCACGAGGGACCCCCTCCCACAATCAAATCCAGGGGTCCCTAAAACCTGCCCAATGTCTGGCCAACCCATCTTCCCTCTCAGGATTGCTCTCTGGTTTATGCCTGGCTGTCCTCAAGTCCACACCTCTGGTTACTTTCCCTGCCCACAGGCTGTGCCTCTTATGAAAAGGCCCCATCCCTCGTCTGACCCTGTGTCCCAAGCTGACTCCAGTCCCACCTCTGCTCCCTGACCCCTGACCACTCCAGCTGATAATTCCTCCCTGCACTCGGAGCTCTGCCACACCACTCGCTGGGCGTGAGGATTACAGGGTCCCCACGGCGCTCCTTTATGCTCCTCTGTGCTGCGCCGGCACAGAGCAAGTGCCCAACAATAGCTGTTGAATGAATGTACAAATGTGATCTCTCCCTCCAGGTGAAGTTTCTTGAGGGCAGGGGCCGTGTGCCTTCCACTGCACACTGACCTAGGATGCTCAGGCGGCTCTGTCAGGTGGACAAGCTGGCCCTCCATATCCGCAGGTTCTGTGTTCGCAGATTCAACCAGCCGCGGATGGAAAATACTACACAATCAGAGGCTGGTTGAATTCCCGGATGCAGAACCCACAGAAACAGAGGGCAGACTGTAAGGGATTTGAGTATCCTCGGATTTTGGTATCCATGGAGGTCTTGGAGCCAATCCCCTGTGGTTACCGAGAGACGACTGCATTTGTTTATTCACAATTTGATAGCACCAATCTGGTGCCAGCCGCTTTAAGTGGACTGAACACACACACACACACACACACACACACACACACACATATATTAGGAGCATGGATTTTTTTAAAAGTCCAGTGTATGAGCCCCAGAAGCTTCCTGGAAATCATTAAGAGAAGAACTTGCTTTGTTGATGGAAATATTTTACATCTTCCCTGTCCCGTATGGTAGCCACTAGACGTGCACTATTGAGCGCTTCAAATGTGGCTAGTGCAGCCAAGGAACTGACTTTTTATTTGTATTTCATTTTACTTAATTTCAATGTAGGTGACCTCATGTGGCCAGTGGCTGCCTTACTGGAGAGCACAGCTCTAAGACCCTCCCATTTCACCCCGTTCTAAGCTTCTCACTTTCTCCTCTCCAGGCCCCCCCGAGCCCCTCTCACCTCTGCCCAGGTGCTTCTGCCCCTGTTGTCTGGCAGCTTGATTTGGACCTATTTCTCCACCTCAGTCTCCACATTCTTCTCAGATACCGTGTTTGGCCTCTGACCAAACTCTGCCCATGAGGAAGAAACAGTCTGGCTTCGAGTCCAGACTGCTGACCCCTGGCTTCCCCTCGGAGAGGGTGCTGCCCTGACAGCTTACTGATGGCTTAGGAGTAAGAAGGACGTAGTCCATCCTGGATGCGGCCGGCCACATGAACGACATATTCACTCTCCTAGGACCATCTCCACCTGCTCTCGTGGGCGCCCCCTTCGGGCAGGACAAGGTAGGACTCTGACACATGAATAGTTCTTGGAAGTGAGAGGCAGATGCAAAGGGAGATTTCCTCAGTCTTATTTTCTGTAGCTCTCTGGCTTAAAATGAGGCCCACTTTAATGGAAAACAAAACAAGCAGACAGGTGGATGATATCCTTTGTATGTTTACTATGGTACAGCAAGATCTTCCAAACCAGAGCTGATATCCCCTGCTGCAAGCAGAAGGCCCTGGGCACACCCCTTTCAAGTGGTCCAAAGGACACCCCCAAACATGACATTTAAGACAATTCTTCATTTCTCTGACAATGACTTCTCGAAGTGCACACAGAATAAATAAATAGAAAATATATCTTTGTTCATGGTGACGCCTACAAGAAATGTTTACAGACAAAACACTGTATACATCTAATTCCCGAAAAAGGACCAGCTATTTCGGCAACAGGAAAAAGACAAGCATTTCAGAGGAGTGTTTTTTTTGTTGTTGTTTTTTAAAGGCCTAACTCATTTTGAGGCTTACAAACAGAACAACAAGAACAATTTTCTAAGCAGTAAGAAAATTTGTGCTACCAAGAACATGCCCAGACACGGGCTCTTGGTGAATGGTTTAGGAAGGAAAGTTTTATGCACAGATCTGCACTGTTAGACATATGTACAACTCTGAGGATTTTCAAATAGATATTTTTTTTTTCCATGAACTGAACCAAAGACAGTCAACATTCCTGGCCATCTGAAGTGATCACATCCTAAGTGGTTCACAGTATGAGACCCTTGCATTAAGAGTTTAGGAAAACTCAACAGAACTAGAGACAAGAAGAACACGAGGTCATTGAACTCTCCTCCCCATGGCCTCTGACCTGCCTGGAAGAGGTCCTTCCTGGGACCCGGGCCTTTGAAGCTGCCAAGTCTTAAGCGGCAGAGCCCCACTGTCACGTCCTAGCAGCGAAAGACCTTTCTAGTGGGGGAGACCTCTTTGGCAACTGGCTCAACCGGGGCAGTGAACCTTTGGCCGAGTCTCATTGGCTGCAGCTGGGCAGATGGTGCCAAGGAAGTAAAGAATTTGTGGTCGGGGCAGGAAAGGGGACGAGACCCAGAGCGACCCTGGTGTCTCATGAGGGAGTATAAGCCACAGATAGAGTTTTCTTTCTCTGGAAGCTCTCCTGGCGCTCTCCAAGGTGGGCAAGGGAGAGAGCAGGTTATTAGGCAGTGACTGAGAGGGCCTGGGGTGGACCCAAAGCTCTTCAGATCCCGGAGCCGCCTAGCTGGCTCACCGAAAACGTGTCTGCTGGGCGCGCCTGCAGACCTACAGAAGCAGGTAGCACCAGTGCAGTGACCCCAGCTGCTGGGCGCCGGCTCGGCAGGGCAGGTAGTTTGAGCCAAGCGGAGGCTGCAGGACCTCCACAGCCCAGAGGAGGGCGCCCTTGTGCGAGCAGAGGACCAGGAGAGAAACAGTCATCGGCCAACTCTCTCTTCTATTCTGATCTTTTTTCCCTTCAAGGGGACTTGCCCCCGTTTCGCGAGGCCACTCAGGCCGGCTGTTGAGGCAGTGTGGTGTGGCAGTAAGTGCGGACAGTGGGGCTCCCGTCCTGGCCCTGCCCTGGCCGTGTGGTTCTTCCCCAGCTTGGGGTCTCATGTGTCCCATCCATACAATGAAGGCTTTGGACTAGGTGTTTTCCTAAGGTCCTTTCCGGCTCTGAAACCCCAGGCTCACTGAGGTGTGAGTGTGTCCGTGTGGGGCTCCGCGAGGGCTCTCAGGGCCCCCGATGCAGGAGCTCCCCTTTCTCGACTTGACTCCACCCCCTCTTGGAGTGGTTGGTGGACCAGCTGACCCAGTGCTCTGGCCATAATGAGCTCAGCCCATCACCCCCTCTGATGCCCGCTTCTCTATTACGGGTGGCCAGCAAGTCGAGGGCAAAGGGCGACCTTGAAGTCACCCATCTTCGGCAGATGTGGGCAGGAACCACTCCAGAGGCTGCCTCATCTCCGCCCACCCAAATGCCCCTGCCCTTCGTTACTGCAGGAAGCTTCCTGACCACCCGAGCGCGTAAGCTCTTTCCCTCCGGGAACTGCCTCTGGCCTCCTCTTTACCTCTCTTGGCTGTCTCCGCTTGGCATCAGAGGTACACACGCCCAACCACCTGTTCCACCAGACTGCGAGCCCCTTGCCTTAGGCAATGCTTCTCACCGCTCCCTCCTGTACGCCCGGAGCACCCAGCATCATGGATGTTGGCTGGAAGGAACGTTCTCACCTATTGCTGGGCTCCGGGCACAATGTGAAAAGCCACAGCATCGCAGTTCTGGCATCTCAGAACTGAAAGGACCTTTAAAAGTCACCTAGTCCAACTCCCAACCTGGGTGCCAAAGCCTCCTGAGAGGTTGAACCCCTCCGGAGGCAGGCTCGCCTTTCTCCGAGGGTAGCCGGTTCCATCTTGGTGAACGGAAGACGGAATCCCGGTCTACACGCCAGCTCCGAATCCCGCGGAGGTCGGTTCTTGCTTACAGGAATGAAGATTTCCTTAGGACCAGGGCTCTTCCTCCTACACCGACCACCCTAATGTGCGTGCTGGAGAGCATGGGGATCTGTGGACAACCCAGCACCCCCTCCAGGCTGCCTCCCAGCTGGGGCAGAGCTCCCGCCAAAGTGGACTTTTGCTGCCAGCGCAGCGCAGGTCTCCTCGTACGGTCCTCACACACACACACACACACCCCACCCCACCGCAGAGGCACAGATAGGAGAGAAGCACCCAAGAGGCTGCAGGAAAGAGAAGGTTTCCAGCATCAGCAACACTGCCCCTGGGGCTGCAGGTAGACACTTGAGTGAGGGCAGGTGACAGCACCAGGGGTCTCTGATACCCTCCCCTTGGCCCATCAGGGCTGACACGTGGCCTTCCCTGGCAGCTGCTGGACAGGGGCTGGGGGACCGGCCAGGCTGCCCCAGGCGGCTGCCGGGAGTCCACCGTCAGAGTCCACTGTAGGGCAGCACTGAGGTGGCAGCGGTCCTCACAGCTTCTTCTTCCTCACCACGGGGACGGGCACAACTTGGAAGATTTTGGCATGGTGGTCCTCGGTGTCCAGAGTCACCCAGGTGGGCCGGAAGCTGCCCTTGAAGCCAACGAATACCATTTTCTCTGAAAAGCAGTGACGTCACATGAGCAGAAACTTCACGAGAGCATGGCTGTATGCCACCACCTTCCAGGCTTCCCCATCGCCATTCCCCTGCCCGTACCAGGCACCCCCTCCTCTAGCCACACTGGACTGTCCACCCCCCAGGAAGAGCTTTGTGGCTGGTTACTGGTGGTACCTGGCATTGGTTTGTATGGGGCACACAGGGTCTCACCTGAGCCTCCCAGCCCCCTGTGCAGAGTGCTCTCTGGTTCCCACAGGAGACCTCCCAGGAACCCCAGCCACCTTTGAGCTGACCCTACAATTAGCAGCGAGTCTGTGCCCGTCTCTGAAGCCCCGTGTCCCTGTCAAATAATGGCATGCATCTACGAGATTTCTGCCCCAGCTCCAACATTCTGTGGCTTTAGAAGGGATTTCTGAGAAGTGGAGGAATTTGCCCAAGGGCACCTAGTAGATGGTGCAGCCCAGACCAGAACTCTAGACTCCCGAGCCCCATGCAGGGCCCTCTGGCTCACAGCTCAGAGCTCGACCCCGTCCGAGGGACTTGGGGATCCATGTCTACACTCAGGAACGGCCCAGCCTGGCAGGCAGCACATACCCATCACCACTGGGAAAGTATCCCTTGACTTATGTCACCTTTATGTTCATCAACTTTTGGCAACAGGGTCTGAATTTAAAGGACAGAGGCCCCCAAATGCTTTCAGGACCAGGCTGGAGAAGATGCTTCTATTTTCCTTGTGTTCTCTTTTGGCTCGTTTGAAGGACTTTCACTGTTACTGATTTTTCTCTGAGAGCTGCCTGGGATAAGCGTCCCAGGTGACAGATAGGCTGCTAGCTTTGATGTGTTTTGCAGTCAGGATGGCATGGCCACTAAGGATGGCTGGCTTTGGATTCGAAAAAATAAGGATCCAAATTCTAACCTTAAATTACTTAACTAATTCTGTTTCTTCACCTTGTGTGGAAATAACAGTACCTGTCACACAGGTTATTAATGAATAACTGAGATCGTTATTGGATGTTCAGCAAGGTGCAAGGCTGAGCATTACATGGTAACTACAACGGACATTATCATTATTATCTATCTGGAGGGTTGCTTGGCCTCGCCTCTCGACCTCCCCCAGGACTCTCCCATCACAGTCTGCAGTGACGATAATAAAATGCTGACATTTCTGTCCTGGCTGGCGTCTTCCCTAAGGGGTCTGTGCCAGGCTTTATGGCAGAAGAGCTGTGTGGCCTTGATTCTCAAGTGAGATTCTCAAATGAGAGCTTTGCCAACTGCAAAGGGCTGTACAAATGCTGGCCATGAGCTGGGAAGCTGCAGAAGACGTAGGGCCCCTGGCCGATTGGAGTAGCAGGAACTGGGTAGGAGGGTCAAACTGAGCCACTTTTCTGCTGATACTTTTGTGGGAAAAAAAAAGGGCCACCTGCTGAGTCGACAGGTGAGCAGCTCGAGCAATTTCCTTCCGGTGTCCGGTCACAAGTTGGAATGCTGTTGCTGCGGGGCAGGAATGGGGACAAGGTGGCCTCTTGCCCACACACAGCTGCAGACCACTAGTTGTGTTGAGGATTCTGAGACCCCACCCAGGTTTGGGGGGAAAGTGGTCTGGTCTCAGCAGTGCGTAGCAGCAGCCTGCACACTGGGCATCTGGATTCACGGTCAGGGTAAGGCCCCGTCTACACCCCTTACCTTTCAGTTTGAGGCCCCTGTCTGCCCCGAGCTTTTCCAGCACTCGAGTCCACGGGCCTCTGGAGACGTATCTTCCCTTCGATGCCATGAGAACTATGGAGCTGAGCAAGAAGGGATGGATGAGAGGACTCGACGACAAGCTGGATGCGGGGGTTCCCTGGGAGGGATGCTGGACTGTGCCTGGTGGGACTCGAGCTAGCAGTGCCCAGAGGCCTGCCAGGGACTGGGGAAGGGCAGCCCCTCCCGCGTGCCGAGCTGACCGGCTCTTTCCATGTGATGACCCACATCCTGAACGCCCTCCCACACATCTGGCTGCGGTTGGTGCCCGTGGCCTTCTCTGCGCCTGCTCTCAGCTCCCTGCTGCTCCCTGTCTGTCCCCACAGAGGACAGAGCAGGTACGCAGAGCACCCCATCTGGGGGCCAGCACCTACGACGGGGCCGGGCACACAAACGACCGCAGCACGCATCTCTTCACTTAAATATGCAAACCCTGTTTGAGCAGGACAAGATGGAGACATGGTGCTGGGAGAAGCCAGAGTGGGGAGTCACCCTGTGCTCGGAGGAGGGTTAACCCCTTAGGTTCACATCCTCCCTTCCGCTCAGGCAGGACGGTGTTACCGTTCCATTTTACAAAGCGGGTGACGGAGGCAAATAGTTACCAAGTATCTGAGAGGACCTGCCAAAGGGGAAGCCGTGCCTGGTGCCTGGGCGGAGGCAGAGGCCTGGAGCAATGGGCATGCCCAGCCTGAAGGTCCTGACTTGCAAAAGCCCAGCTTGGGAGCAAAGAGTCTCTATTCCCCTGCCCTGGTTGCATTCAGGCCAAAGTGCTGGGAAAACAGCCGCCGTCGTGGTGGCAGACTCAGCCTGCTGGACCAGACGGCAGGAAGTGCACACCTCCCCCAGGAATAGAAACAGGGGCAGAGGCCCGACTGGGGCTTCTAGTTTGCAGCTCAGAGGAATCCTGTAACCACAGACCACAGTCCAGACATGGAAGAACTATATAGGATGCTGGAAGCTGTTGTTACCCCCATTTGGGTCCCATTGGGAGCAGAAGGCAAGCTCTTAAAAGGCAAAGAGCTTGGGTGCAGTAGGAACAGAGGGGAAGCGAGCTGGGGACTGCGTCTGGCTCTTCAGGAAAGCAGAGGGATTTGTGCCTGTTAAGGAGACAGGGAGCATCGCAAACACATCCTCAACTTTGGATTCAGGCTCTGTTCCTGTTCAGAAGAAAAGCTAACATCCCTTTGGCTCAGTTAAGCCTTCTTGCTGGGCTGGACTCAAACAAAGGTCATGCCCTCCAGACGGGGCTCCCAGGGGCGGGACAGGCAGACAGAGCTTCTCGTGCGCCCAGCCTCCTGACAGCACCCAGAAGCTGCCTGCACACTTCAGGTGTCCCTCTCTGTCTCGTATGGGCATCTCATGCCCTCCAAGCCCCTGACCTGTCAGTACGGAGGTCCCCACGGGGTGGCTGGGCAGAGACAGCCCCTGGGAACCATCCCTGAAGGTTTGGGTGCGAGCAGTGGCCTCCTTCTTGCCCTGGGACCCTGGGGCAAGGCTGGCCCTGTGGAGTGGGTGGAAGGGGGGGGGCGGCCTGGCTTGGGCCTGCGGTGACAGTGGGGCAGGACCTGCCTTGCCCCATCCACTGCCGCTTTCCCAGAGGTCAGAGCGGGGTCTGGTGGTGCCCAATTCCTATCTGGGTACGCAGTGCCAACCCAGGGCACGGCTCACACCAGGTACTTGGCAAGGTGCACCAGGGCCGCAGCACGGGCTGAAAGCAGCCCTGCATGGGGTAGTCCCACGCCTCTCACCCCTGCTTCTAAACAGAGCAGCTCCGCATTTCAGTTTCTTATTCCAGGCTTCTGCATCCTGTTTCATTTCCAGAAAAAGTCCTTTGGCCCCAAAAGGCACGAAAACTAAAAATCTCTAAGTGATCATGTGTTTCCCCAAACTGGCAAATCTGGTCCTTCTGTATGAATCTGCACGTGAAAATGTCAGGCTAAAGAAGCTTGTGATGGGGGAAGAGAGTGGAGACAAAAGGTGGTTAAGCAAAGCCCCATTCTTTGGAATCTCACATAAGAGTCTAGTTCAAGTCATGCCCATCATGCGGCATCTGGGAAGTAGTACATTTGTTTTCGTCAATAAATATTTACCAAGCACCTCCTATATGACAGGTACCACGTTAAGCGCTTAGACTGTCTGCTATGCCAGGTTGTGGCTTTGGAGTGAATTCTCCACCCATTATACTAGGAATGTAAATATGAGTTAGATATGGTCCCCACATCAAGAAGTCCATACCCTAGATGCGGGAGTAGATATGTCCACTGGTCCTGTGGGTGCGGGGGGTAGGTAGAACTTTTTGGTTGGATTGGAAGAGACCTCACCAAAGAGGTGATATGTGAGTTAGATTTGGAAGGTGGAAGGGGAATTACCAAAGATTTCTAGGAAGGGGACAGGAGGTACATGTATTTAAGAAGCTCAACCCCCCAGTATGGTGGGTGGATTCGCGAGGGGGAGGCTGGACAAGGGAGCCTGCTGGGTGACTGCCGACGGTGTGGGTGGCAGACAGGGAGGCCCCAGACAGAGCAGCGATGCAGAGGATGCCGCAGGATACCTAGCAGGAGAGCAACGATGCAGGTAGGGTTGACAGGATGTGGTTATAGGGCGTGGTGGTGGCGAAACAGAAGAAAGACAAGAGCCCCAGCACGATGCCCAGACTCTCATCTAGCTGCCCGGACGGAAGATGATGGTTTCACCGAAACGTGGAAAAGGGGAGTGACTGGTTTTGGGGGTTAAAAAAAAAAAAGAAAAGAAAAGAAATGATGAGAATTCAGTTCCATAGGAGACATCCAGGTGGCATGGTCCAAGTTGCAGTTGGATTAAAAGTATCTGGTGTTTCAGAGGGAGATCTGGGCTGGAGATTCCCAAAAGCCACCAGCATTTGGATCATATTGAAAGTATGGGAGGGGATGAGCTCATGCCGCGAGAGTGGGTCATGATGGGGGCACAGGGCCAGGGCAGGCTTCCCATTTGTAGCTGGGTAGACCGTCCGCCTCAGCCTGACCTACATTCACCATGGCCCTGGCCCCAAAGGGAGAGGCACCAGGCAGGGAAGCTTCCCAGCCAGCACCCATGATGTGTGGGCAGACCGTGGACACTCCCCAAGCCTTCTCAGACCGGACTGTGCTGAAGGTCTCAGGGACAGGGAGGGGGACTCTGGCAGGGGTCTGCGGCGCCATCGGCCAGTTCCCGACGCAGAGACGCACACTCACTTGTCGGGGATGGCCAGCACGTAATTGAAGAGCTGCCACGGGATGCCCTGCAGGATGGCGGTCCTGAAGCTGGCTTGGCTCAACACGTGCCCTTGTCTCCCGTCAATTACCACCACCTGGATGCCATCCTCCGAGCTCGGGTACTTCTTCCCATCCACCTGCAGACAACAAGCAGCACACAGTGTGATGCAGGGGGTCCCAAAGGCAGCAGAGCCCCGAGGTTCTCCTGCCCCGGGGGGTTCCCACGCAGACTCTGAAGACAGAGGTCACCGGTGCGGCTCTTCAAAGCATAAAGCTCACTTCAGTCAGTTCCTTGCAAACCTCTGTAGTGGGCTGAATGACGGCCTCCCCCAAAGATACGTCTACTGCAACCTGTGAAAGTGACCTTATTTGGAACTAGGGCCTTTGCAGAGGTAATTAAGTTAAGGATCTTGAGATGAGGTCATCCTGGATTTCAGATGGGCCCTAAATCCAGTGGCAGATGTCCTTATAAGGACTACAGGCAGAGGGAGGTGTAAGGCTCAGACACATGGGGGAGAGACCATGTGAGACAGAGGCAGAGGTTGGAGGGACGCCGCTACAGCCAAGGAACATCCAGGGCTGCCGGCAGCACCAGAGGCTAGAAGAGGCCTGGAACGGACCCTCCCTCAGAGCCTCCAGGGGGAACCAACCCTGCCAGCACCTTGACTTGGGACTTCTGGCTTGTGAACTGCGAGAGGATAAGTTTCTGTTGTTTTAAGCCACCGGGTTTGCGGTCATTTGTGACAAGAGCCCTAGGAAACTAACACCACGTCTCAGTGAGCAAAGCCCCTCTGGGCAGGGGTGAGGGTTGCTTACTTCGATGTAGGCAAAGTCGTTCATTAGGTGGAAGAAGCGCTGCTTGGCACTTTCCATCTTCACCTCCAGGAAGTGGTCCTTGGTCGTCTGGAAAATAAACAAAACCCAGTGTGGCTGTCAGGTTTGTGGAGTCAAGTGTACGGCCCGATGGGTGGTCTTCCCCCTCACTGCCCCCGACCCCCGGTCACGGGAGACGGTCTAAGGAGCGGAGAAGATGTCTGGAGAGGACGCTGATGGGGTCTGGGCCCCCTCGGAGGGCCCGGGCTCGCTGTCGGCCACTCACCAGCTGAGAAGCAAAGAGCTTCTTGGGCATCGGCACGTCCACGACGGCCCTCTCCGCGAACTTGGGGTAGGCTGTGGCCGCGCAGTTGCTGACGCCGGCGTTCTTTGGGATCAGAGCTTTAATCTTTATTCTCTCACAGCCTTTCACAGAGCAGAAGGCGAACTTCTCTCTCTCGTTCTGAGCTTTCAGCTTCAGGAAAAGCAGCCTGTGCACAGGAGCAGAGCGGGTGGTTCCCTTTGGTGTCCACACCCTCCTCCCCCAAAGGCATTTACCCAGAACTACGTGCTGGCCACAGTGATTACAGCCGGTGGGCCCTACAAAATGGATGTGTCTACCGCAAGGTTTTTTGGGGTTTGTTTTTAATTTTTTTTTTTTTTTGGCTGCGTTGGGTCTTCGTTGCTGCGCGGGGGCTTTCTCTAGTTGCGGCGAGCAGGGGCTACTCTTTATTGTGGTGCGTGGGCTTCTCATTGCGGTGGCTTCTCTTGCGGAGCACGGGCTCTAGGCACGCGGGTTTCAGTAGTTGCAGCACGCGGGCTCGGTAGTTGTGGTTCATGGGCTTTAGGGCCCAGGCTCAGTAGCTGTGGCTCATGGGCTTAGTTACTCTGTGGCATGTGGGATCTTCCCGGACCAGGGCTCGAACCCGTGTACCCTGCATTGGCAGGTGGATTCTTAACCACTACGCTACCTGGGAAGTCCTACCACAAGGTTTTATGTGGTTGGAGAAATTAAAAACAAATGCATTGAAGAAAAAGCTAACACTGACACTTTTCATTTTCTGAGCACGTACTCTATGCCATGCTATGCACATGCTGTAAACTGACATATTATCTCATTTAATCCTCAGACAATCCAGTCCAGCAGGCACTGTTATCATCCCAATTTCTCAGATCCCAATGGCTCAGAGAAGTGAAGTGACTTGCCAGGACCACACAGCACAAAGGGGACAGAGCTGGGATTTTCCATCCCAACCCTGTGCCTGGTGAGGAAAATGCTCACCAAGGGAACGTGTGTGAATGTGAGGAGAAAGTGGGAAGCAGAACTGGGCGGGCCATCTGGTCCCTAGGGCTTGGCTGTTTTCAGCACAGGAGCCCAGGAAGCCCAGCTGGGATGACTTCCTGAAGATGCCCTGCTTCCCTCTCAGGAACACCTCCACTTTGTTTGAGTTCACTTGAGTGGTTTTACGTTTCTTGACATCAAGCAACCCTTGAATAGAATATAGTGTTCGTATGGAAGAGCTGCTGGGGGATCTCTTGCCCCGGCTGAGAACAGAGCTTCTTCCTCTGCATTCCCTGCTCTGCATGGGGCGGGGGAAGCTTTGAGCTGCTTAGGAGAAAGCCCGTTCAGTGCTGCCTGTCATCATTTCTCCACCAGAGGCTCCCACACAAGGTCAGAAACCACCCCAGGGGACAAGGTCATGAGCAAAACCCCGGAAAGAGACCCAGAGCCTCTGTTCCTAGGGCTTCTGCACAAGACTATCAGTGTTCAGGTTTCCCCGCTGTCATGGTATATCAAATTATCCAAACTGGAGGGCACTAGAAGACCATCTAGCTCCCACTCCTTATTTTCCAGACAGCAGCTGCCCTCCCTAATCCTCACCTTCGACATGGATGTGTCCTAGTCAGCTGGACTGGGAAGCCCTGGCGTCAGTAAGCCTGGGCTCAAATCCTGGCTGTGACCAGGTAGTATTTCAGAGCAGCCCTACTGATGGCCGTGCACCTGAATCCTACACTTACGTATAGTTTAGCAATACCTCGCTTAGGTGGCATCTGGCAAACTCCAGGACGCAGATGAAATCACCCGAGTGGTTTTTTTTTAACCTTGAAGGATTTACAGAGGTGACTCAGGGTGTGAAATATATTTCACACTTCGGGACCCCTTCACTTGTAGCCTACTTACTTTTTATTTTACCCCCAATTATAACAAGCTGCTTATCAAGTGTCCTAGGCCACAGCAGAATAGAAGGTAGCCATTGAAAGCAGGTGCTCTGAATGTGAGTAAGAAAGAGCAACACATTTGTAAGGCAGAAAGATCATGAAAACAGCCCAAGAATTCACAAAGCCCAAGACTCTGGGCTCTTACACAGGCAACAGACATCCTGTAACCCAGCCCACAGTCCCTAAGGCTACCATTGAATTAAAGCGCAGCATAATAATCAATAGGTATGATTAACTAAGCCACCAACAAAACGGTTGAATTAAGCAGCAAAATCTGCTTAAAGGGGGAAAATCGCAAATTTTTAAATGTGTTGATCAAAAAGGTTCAACTTGTTCAGTGGCCGTTTCCGTTTGAAAAATTCACACCTTTGCAACATCCCAATTCTCACGATCCTATCGATAAAAGAAGAAATCATGCACAGGTGGTGCTATGAAGACTTTCACCTTATTACCATTTTTAAAATCATAATATTGATCGTTTCTGCTGTTGTATGAAGGATATTTAATTCCCCCTCTGGTTTTCACATGGAAGGGTTTTTCTAAACACTCCTGGCCCCGGCCCATCCCCTCACTGATGTCTTCCCAGGGGAAGTGGAGTGACTCGTGTGGTTGCTGGATGGGGGTACATAGGTCAGCCCGTAGAGAGGCGGACTCTGGTCTGCTCCCCCTGCACCCTAAGTTTTGGGAAGATCTGTTCCCCAGCAGCTCCATCATCAGTAGGACAGACAGTTCCTTCCTCACCTGCTGTCGTGCCTGCTCCACCACTGGCTTAGAACTAATGTGGGAAAAGGGGTGCTACTTGCTGCTTCCCCAACCCCAACATTATTATTTTTTTATTTTATTTTTTTTGCGGTACGCGGGCCTCTCACTGCTGTGGCCTCTCCCGTTGCGGAGCGCAGGCTCAGCGGCCATGGCTCACGGGCCCAGCCGCTGCGCGGCATGTGGGATCCTTCCGGACCGGGGCACGAACCTGCGTCTCCTGCATCGGCAGGCGGACTCTCAACCACTGCGCCACCAGGGAAGCAGCCCCCCAACATTTTTACTTACGCTTCTGACTTTCAAATTTGAATTTTCCTTTAATCAAACCGATAAAGCCCTACCTTTATAGATATGTCTAAGCATCTTCTATCTATCTCATTACCCTTGATTTCACTACAAGAATGGAAAAAATGGCCATAAAACAGTCCTTTACCCTTAGTCCCCGGAGGGCTGGCTAGCAACAGCTTCACCGCTTTGGAGACGTGCTGGCATTCTGCAGATGTTAGAATACTCTTTTCAGGGGAGGCGACCAAATAGCTCACTGTCTCCGGGGACAGTACTCTGTCCCCATTAGATCCCTGCTGAATAGAACCTAGTGCAGTTCAGCAAAAGGGGGAGGATTTTGGTTACAGATAGGTGTGAGCTCAAAACTAGCCGCGCCAAGTTTGTGCGGTGTCCCTGGAGCAAGGCATTCCTATTTATCCTGTACCTTCTTTGACCATCTCTAATTTTTTTTTTTTTTTTTTTTTTTGGCCGCACTGCGCGGCACACGGGATCTTAGTTCCCCAACCAGGGCTCAAACCTGTGTCCCCTGCAGTGGAAGCGGGGAGTCTCAACCACTGGGCCACCGGGGAAGTCCCTGCCCATCCCTAAATTAGGGATGCTAGCATGTGCTCCGACTGAGTTGTACGGAATTGAGGTCCTGTACCACATTTTCTCAGTTCTAAGATTCACTCCTTTCCCTTTTTTTTCCCCCTGAAACAGGTATATTCACTACAATCCATGTGTATATTAATAGAGTGCTTACTTTACTCCCAAAGCGTCACAGCTTTAAAAATGTCATTGGTGGATGGCACAAACTGTCTGAGAATGGAAGTGCCTAGGAAAGGATCCTGCGTTAACCAGCACCAACTGCATGGCAGGTCTGAGGATTATTGGAAAGGCCGGGGGACAGCATGAGAATGACCACTTTCCTGCAGCCAAGAGGGGGCTCCTCACCCAGAGTCCTCGTCCCAGTAATAGTGGCTCTTGCCAGGGTAGCTCTGCTCCACTTTGTCCATCTGCAACGTCCTCACGAAGATGCCCGTCTTGGACGTTTGCTTCAGCAGGCGATTGTGAACATCCGAGAGGATAGAAAAGGTGGTGCCCCGGGGGTAGCAGAGCCCCACTCGAATCCAGTCGCCCCTAGAATCGGAAGTGCAGTCAGGTTACAAGCGAGGATGTCCAGGCCACAGGGCCTCCTCGTGTGCCTTGGCCAGAGGCCAAAGCGTTCTCCACCAAATGGCACTTCCACTTTCCAGTGGGAATTTTTGAAAGAATGCTTGCTGTTGGTAATGACTGTGTCACAAAGTGTTCAAGGAGAGAGGGAGAAACGGTGACTGCAGTGAATGAGAGGGGTCGGTGGGGCGTCCCCAGGGCCTGCATTGGGTGCTCTATGTGGATCGTTGGCTGGGGGAAAGAAAAATGAACGTTCTTTCAATAGGGCTGGAGTGAAAGAGCCAGGATCTGTAAGACCTGGGTTCAGCCCCTTCCTGGTCCAGCCTGACTGTGGGGCGCATTTCAGCTCTTCGGGTAACATTTTCTGCAACTGATGTCTGTCTGTCTCACGGGACTACTGTGGCAAGTTAACGACGTGCATAGAAAATACGTGAACGTAAATACATGAAGCTCTCTCCAGATGCCCTCAGCTTAATCCCTCTACCTCGCAGAGCCTTGTTCCCGCCCCCTTCCCCCCCCCCATAAAATGGTAACAAGAGCCACCAGGGATTTTTGACCATGTACTGAGCCCTTCGTAAAGCCAGGTCCTGGGTGAAACGCCTGCCAAACACTGTCCCACTCGATCCCCATTGCAGCTCTGCAGAGTAAGACTATCCCCATCTCCTAGATGAAGGAACTAAGGTTCCCAGGGGTGAGATGCCCTGCCCGGGGTCACCCACGCCCAGAACGGGGGCTCAACCCAGGTCTTCTGATTCTTAACCACTGAGTGATGTCACGTCTAGATCCATCCTCGGGCAGGGATGACGTGGGCGAGCCTGAGGGTCTGCGAGCGGGAAGCCCAGGGCTTTGCAACGAGGCATCGTTATCACTGATGCTTTGAGCTCAGCCAGAGCAGCTGTCCCCATGTCACACTGCTCCTGGCCAGGCACCCACTCACTTGTTGAAGTTGATGAGCCAGATGGTGAGCTCGGCAGGGGCTGTCTGGTCCCAGTGGATGGTGTAGCCCTTCCGCAGGGTGATGACGGGCTGGTACTGCTGGTAGTGGGTGCTCCTGGTCAGAGCCCCCTCCAGGTAGAGAGGGTGGCTGGGGAAGTCATTCTTGATGATCTTCATTCGCAGATTACTGGTCTTGTAGGCCTGAATGTACATCTTTTAAAGCCCAGAGAGGAAACACACAATGAGGCAATGACAAGGGATTACTCCAAGAGCGTCTGGTTAGCATCTGACTACAGACTACACTTGCAAAAGGACTTTCTCTTCACAGAGCCCTTTTTAGAAAGCTTGAATGAAAGAAGGCCAAATAAGGGGGCATCTTTCTGCTGGTGAATGCAGCCTGAGCCGTACTGTGCAATCCAGCTAACGCTTTCTGTACATCTTCAAAAAAAGTGTAGAGGAGAGACCAGTGGCAACTTGAGGGGAGTCTGCTTAACAGTCAGCGAACTTTGGAAAAGGAGGGGTATCAGGAAAGAGGAGGAAGGGAGAGAGTTTTATGACACTTCTGCTGCAAATGCAACTCCCCTTTAACCGGCTGCTGTCCTGTCTGTATTTGAGAAAGAGCCTGATGTGTTGCCTACTTCTCCCTCTGATTCTCAGTGTCTGGCCTGTGTGGCCAGTCCATGTGGCTATCATTGCACACCGGGGGATGAATGGCATCTCATTTCAGAGACAAATATGAAAGCAAGACTGTCAGCCACTGAGTCCAAGGGACAAAACAAAAGAGCCTGGATGATTTGGGCCACCCTTGGTTTAAAAGACTGTGTCCTGATAGAGAACAGACCTGTGGTTGCCAAGGGGAAGGGAGGGAGGGAGAGGGATGGACTGGGAGTTTGGGGTTGGCAGACGCAAACTATTATATTTAGAATAGATAAACAACAAGGTCCTACTGTATAGCACGGGGAACTATAGTCAATATCCTGGGATAAACCATAATGGAAAAGAATATAAGAAAAAAGAATGTCTGTATGTGTATAACTGAGTCACTTTGCTGTACAGCAGAGATTGGCACAGCACTGGAAATCAACTCTACTTCAATAAAACATTCGTTAAAATAAATAAAACACTGTGTCCTGTTTTAGGACCTGTCCCATTTCATTAGGTGACATCCCCGTAGCTGTGGCCAAGAGAGACCATCGCATCAAGATGCAATAATGTGCCCTTGGAAAGGGGTTATCTTCCCCTCTAGTTGTATCACATATAAAATGGGAAGAGAAACTTCAACCCTGCCCTAGTATGGCGGTGTCATGGGTATAAGAATTTAAAGGTATAGTAAAGCCTTTTGTAAGCTGCAAAGTGGAGGGAGGAGATTATTAATAATAATTCACCAGTAGCCAGGTATGGTAACCTGCAAGCTCTAACTAACAATTAGCCCCTTTTGGCAGAAAATAAGCGATGTATCAGAAAGAAAGGGTGGGAGGGAAGCTCAGGATCAAGGCTCCACATGGGATGTCTCGCCCTTGAATCAGGGATGCTATAAGGCCCGCAGTGTGCCTGCAAGCCTTAAGGGTTTGGTCAGCCTTTAGTTATTCAGGTCATGACCCCAATCTGTCAGCTCCTTCTGACTCTACTTCCCTTCTTACCTGCCCTAGACCATCAGGTCAACCACTCGCTCCCGTAGCATCAAATCCCTTGCCCTGCCCACCCATGCAGCAGATGCCTCGGCCTGGATCATTCCACGGGTCCGCCTCCTCTGCAGGGCTCTGGAGCAGGGCTGAGAAAGTCCTGCAGCCAGGAAGAACGGTGCCCCTTCCATGCTCCGTCTACAGTCTCCACTGGGTTTGCAGCACCACCTGGCACTCCTTCCGCACGCCTCTGTCAGCATCTTCCAGTCTCCACGGCACCTCTTCCCAACCTGATCACCCTCTGCGGGCCACCCAGCTCAGGCCTGCTCTCTGCCCTCTCACTGCATGACCTCCCCTTCTACTGCGGAAAGAAATACCCTGGACCTCCCTGCCCCGGGCCCCTGCCTTCCTCTGTGCCCCCCTCCTGCTAACGATCCCTCCCGCCTCCGCTGGCACCCGCTCCCAGCACGGCCCCGCCTCCAGGGGCCCACCTTGCCCCCCATGGCCCTTCCCCTTCACTGGCACTAGCCCCCTGCCCCGTCCCTCCCCAGACCCGAAATCACTTTTAGCTCTTTTCTCTTTTTTTGCGGGGGGGCCGTGCCTCGGGGCTTGTGGGATTTCAGTTCCCTGAGGGATCGAACCCAGGTCCCCTGCAGTGAAAGCATGGAGTCTCAACCACTGGACCACCAGGGAAGTCCACCTTTCTCTCTTTCCTAATGCTCGGGATGCTGCCGCCCACAGCGGTGAGAGGAATGCCTGCCGGCGGGATGGTTGTGAGGATTCCTCATTCCTACGTTTTCCTGCCCCTTCGGGGGTCACTGGGCTCATGCGCTTCCCTCCTGATCTGACAGCTCTTCGTTTCCTCGGGGGCTCTCTCCCCTTGCTCATCTAGTCCTCAGCTCTCCTTCCACATAACACCAGTAACAATGCTACAGTAACTCATATTTTCACATTCCAGGCACTGACTCAGCCTGCTGTCCCATGTGGCCACTGGGCACTGCAAATGTGGCCGGTGTGGCTGAGGACCCAAACTTTAAATCTCATTTTAATTAATTTAAATTTCCAACCAAAAGTGGGGTAAAATAGTTTTCCAGCTAAATAATTAAACATAGCTTTATTGTTTTGGTAGGACTAGCTTTTACTTTAATTGTAGAAAATTTGAATCCAAATTGAGTGGGCTGTAAGTATAAAATATGCAGGGAGTTTCGAAGACTTAGAACAGGAAAAACATATGAATGTAAAGTGCCTCGTTAATGATTTTTTTATACGGATTACATGTTGAGATGACAGTATTTTGAATATATTGAGTTTAACAAAGTCTATTATTAAAATAGATTTCAGCCATTTCTTTTGCCTTTTCAACGTGGCTACTAGAACATTTAAGATCACCCGGACGGCTTGCACTGTATTTCTGGTGGAGAGGGCTGGTAAAGCACTCTACGTGCTCATTAAAAGGGTTCAACTATTATCCTGATTTTACAGATGAGGAAATTGACACTCCAAGAGTTTAGGTAACTTGCCCAAGGTCACACAGTTACTAGGTGCCAAAGTCTGACTTCTTTTTCTAAGCATTCTGCTTACAAAGTGTTTTCACTTGGACTTTTTGAAAATCCTACTGGGTTACCAGAAAAAAATAAAAAGAAAGAAAGAAGAATGAAGAAGAAACCTATGTCCCTTTGTGGCCTGGCACAGAGGCAGGCATGCAGTAGGCTCTCACTCAGTGCTTGTCCCATGAGTGAGTGACTGGTGACACTGAGGGGGTATGCCCTGCATCCCCACCTGTGCGTAGCGCCCGCTGCAGATGGCGCCTCTCCAGTCCGGAACGTTGATGCAGTCTGGGTGCCGGACCAGCCAGTTGTCGTCCTTGGTGAGGTAGGACCCAGGGTACTCGGACACGGAGCCATCCACGTCATGGAACACTGACGTCTTGTCCCCGTCCATATCCAGCTGGTTGAACCAAGGCCCAGGCTCTCCGAAGAACACTCTGGAAGTAATCTAAACACAGCCCAGGAATGTGAGGCTGGACCAGAAGGTGAAGGGAAGTAGCAGCTGTTGTCAGGCCAGGGCGAAGTTTCCGATTTCCAGACATTACAAACCAGCCAAAGCAAAGATGCTCCGGGGCAGCACACGACAGCGCATGGCTGAGCTCTCGGACGGAGCCAGAGAAACAGCCAAACGTCCACTGTGCCTCAGCTCTCAGACCCAGCACGTTATTCTGGCCTCTGCGCACTGGAGGGTTGGCTGCTGCATGTGACCCTGGAGAGAGCTCTAATACGTGGCTCAAAACACTGCAGGGATGGGGAGGCAGCTACAGGAGTGTGTGCGTGTGACAGTGTGTGTGTGCGCGCGCGAGTGGGTGTGAATGCGTGTACGTGTGTGTGCGTGAGCGCGTGTGTGTGCACACGTGTGTGCGTGGATGGTGTGTGTCTGAGGGTGTGTGTGTGGAGAGGGAATGAGGCTGAGTGGCAGTGAATGTATGAGAAAGTACATATACATGTATAATAAACGCACACACACATGTCGCGTGGATATGCGGGAGAGAGAACATGTGTGAGAGTGTGCGGTGTGTTTCAGGAAGTCAGTCTTTCAACATGAGCCCTTGGAGATTTCCATGACTGACCTCTTTCAGGCCCTCGGTGGCCTGAGTAAGGAAGTTCAGTAACTTGAGTCTCACATCTTTTCCCTCAGGCTGCTAGGAACTGGGCAGACAGGGAAAGGGCAGGAGCAGAGGGCTGGAGGAGGAAGGGAGGTCTGGGCAAGCTGTAACCCAGAGCAAAGGCACCAGGAGCCCCGGACCCGCCTCGTCTCAAAGCGCAGCCCTTTGTCCTGACCTCCTCACCCCGGCTCCTAACTTGTTGTCTGCCTAGGGCTAGGAGGGCCCTGTTTATGTTCCACTCTCCGGGAGAAATTAAACAGAACATCTTCAGCAACGATTCCTTTGGGAATTGCTGGGTTTTTTTTTTTTTTTAGATGAATTGTGCTAACTGAAGTGGCCCGGTCACCAGACTCGGTAGGTCGAACCCAAGAGCCTTGGAGGACCAGAGCCTCAGAACCTTGAGGGCAGTGGAAAGTTCCTTCTGAGGCTTGGGTGGGTTCTGAACAGGGTGAGGGCAAGGGGGCATTTACCCAGACTTGACCTGTGGGGCAAACTACACTTGTACTTTTCCAGTTTGGATGCAGACAGACCTGGGACGTGGCCCAGCCTGCTTGGAGAAGAATGTTCAACCCCTGCGGTGGTGGCAACGGCTCAGACTCCAGGCCCCGCAGGGACTTGTGAATCACCGCCCAAGGTCTGGGTTTGCCGGGAGCTCGCCCTGGTGCCTCGAGGACTCACCGGGACGTCCTCAAAGGCAATGCCGGTTACGTTGTTATGGGGGCAGCTCTGCCAGGCATTGTTCAGGCGGAAGGCCAGGGCGCTGGTGTGCCGGCCCTCCAGGGCTGCAAACTTGCGGAAAGTGCAGTTCTGGATGTTGATGGGGCCGTCGTAGAACTGAATTCCTCGGATCGGGAAATTCCTATGGAGTTAAGCAAGCCAGATGTCAGGCTGATTGCCATGTTGTGCCTCAACATTGTTTACACCCTCCGAGGTGGATGGTAAGAGACCTTCTGGGTAAACCATTCCTGATTCCCACCCCCAAAACTCCCCCTCTAACAACATTATTGATGCATTAATTAATTCACTGAGAGAGCATTTATGGACACAGTAAATATCAATAAATGATTACTGGATGAATTATTAGATGGATGGATGGATGGATGGAGAGATGGATGTCTAGCTGCTGGCTTGGGGTTTGAGAGACGGTCCTCTATACAAACATTTCCCCAGGGCTTCCCTGGTGGCGCAGTGGTTGAGAGTCTGCCTGCCGATGCAGGGGACATGGGTTCGTGCCCCAGTCCGGGAAGATCCCACATGCTGTGGAGCAGATGGGCCCGTGAGGCATGGCCGCTGAGCCTGCGCGTCCGGAGCCTGTGCTCCGCAACGGGAGAGGCCACAACAGTGAGAGGCCCGCGTACCGCAAAAAAAACCAAAAAACAAACATTTCCCCACATATTCCCATCCTATGAAGAGGCATTGGATAAATAAATATTACCGGAGAGAGCCAGTATCATGTCCCTTGGGAGAGTAGAGCCATTTACTCATTATCGCCTTGGTCTCAGTTGCTGTAACAATTTAATTAGATTAAGACCCAGATGAGCTTCCTCTCTGTGGGTAAGCCTTTCGATTGGCAGTATGCTGGGTTTGGGAAACTAGGGAGAGGAAGGACACAGAATGGAAGGTGATAATGAAATGGAAAAATACCTGCCTGGTGATGTTTCAAGCATCCCTAGAAGGGAGGGCAGGCCCCCTTGGGAGGGCAAGACTGTGAACTGCCAGGGGACCCCTAGAAGGGCCTGATACCCCAGAGGCAGGGAAAGATGGAGGAAGAGGCAAAAGGCTTGGAGCTGGAGCTATAGGAGGGGCTGGAGGAGAACTGGGGACTTGGAAATTCTGCCTTCGGCCCAGCAAGGGGACAGGGTGCTCGAGATGCCTCTCTCCTTTGCCACGGACTCCTGAGCAGGATGTGGGAAACAAGGGCCTAGGAGGGGCTGGCTGGGCCGATCCTTTTTGGGCCTGGCCCCAAAGCTAGGCTTGCTCATTCTTCAAGCCCAGTGTTTATGCTTTTACTGGTATCTCTACTTCTGGGTCAGGGCCTTCTCCTTCCATGGTGAACATAAAGAAGAAAGGGCAGAAAGAGGGACAAGAAAGCAGAAAAGGGCAATCTATGGGGAGAAGTCACATTCCAGCTGGTCCCTACTTCAGCGCTGAGCTCTCCCCTCACCAGATACGGCTCCCTAAGGGCCTGGTAGCACCAGTCTCGGCAATGTGCCTGCAGCACACGGTGTGCCAAGGGCTTCTGGTATTTCTGTATTTTTATATTTGTAATTGATTAATGTCATCGCCTTGAATCCTGGATCTCATGGAGTGGCTCCATGCATTTTTCCATTTAAGGTATCTTAGGGACAGCCCGTTCTCACTAGCTCTATATTTAAACTGTGTGCTTACTTTACCCTTGGACCCCGACCCAGGCCCATACAGGATGAATCCCTCACGATCAGGACCGTGGGGTCCTGGGCTCCTGCTTACAAATGCAGTTTGAGGGACCTGCCTGAGTCTGACAAAGCTGTCAGGCCTCCATAAACAAACTCACCTCTGGAAGTCGTCAGAACATTCTGGCCCTGGGGAGGCTGGTAACCCTCAGCAAAGAAACCCAAATATGCAAACCCAGCGTTGCTCATAAAAATGATCTGAAGGGACTGCTACACCACTTAGGCTAGACAGGAACAAGGGCTTCTGGATCACTCATGCCAAAGGAGACTGTGGTTCTCTCTGCAAACTCTTTTCAAAGATACCCATCCCACTAGGCCTGGGAGTTTAGGCCTATGTCCTACCTGTAGAGGCAGGAAGGACATATTCCTAGAGAAAGAGGAAAAAGCTCAGAGGGGCAGAAAGGGCTAATCTTAGCCCGCTGCTGCTTGTGGCTCTCTGGCTTGAATTCCTGTCTGAACAGAAACACCATCAGAAGGAGAGACTTCCTCACCACTGACCCAAGCTGCAGCTTTCCGAGGAATTAACCAAGTCCCTTTGCTCCGTTGGTGTGTCAGCTCTCCAAGTCACCCCCTCCCTCTCCAACCACCTGCTTATCATCCAGCAACAGAGAGCCTGTGACCCTCCAGGACAGGCATGCTATTCTGTTTAACAAAGCTGACTGCTAGAAAACTCCTTCCTGCACAAAACCACTTCTAACCCTAACACAGAGTGAGTTTCATCCTGTATGCGCACAGCAGCCCTGAGAATGTGTGACAGCATCTCCTGGGCTGTTCCCCCAAGTCTGGTCCCAGCCTCTGGTTGAAGATCCCGATCTGAGTGTGACTATCACTCTGCCACCATCAGAGGCGGACGAGATGTTCCAAGTGTGGGTGCTGTCCGAGGAGAGAGGAAGCCATGGTCGCCCATCCTGGACGCTAAATTCCCGTTAACGTAGCTCAGAACAACGTTTTATGTTTTGACAGCTGTGTCTCCCTGTTGACTCATATTCAACACAGTTTTTTGACTTCTCTCTCTGATTCTAGATTTCACCCCCCTGCTGGTTAATCTCAGTTGTTTCAGTGACTTCTCTGACCAGTAGAGGACAGAGGAATTCATAGTCAACAGGTAGAAATCACATCCTAGCATCTTTCCTTCCACTGCTGTCGTTTAGGTTAAGCCACGCAGAACAAAGAAGCTGCCATGCTTGCAAACCTACTGGCCTATGGGGAGGGTCCTTCCGCTGTGGTCCAAGCCACCTGGGCCCCAGATCCTGTTGTCCATCATCTCTGTCCCCACATTGCCACTCTCGCCAACAAACAAGCTGTTCTTGATCTCCTGCTTGGAGCCATCATCATACGGGAAGGTCCCACCACTGTAGAGAGAAGATGTCTGGAATGAGATGTCCAGAGACAGCAACCCACAGGGTGCCAAGGGCAATGATTGGCCCTTACCTGGCCAGGGTCAGGCCAATGCCATTGTCAGCAAACCTGGGGACAAGAGCAGACAGTCAGTGAAGTCGTGGAGGGAAGGACTCCTCCCTGCCCTGGTGTCATACCGTGGATCCTGTGTAGGGGAGGGGTCTTTGCATAAGCACCGGGTTTGCTGAGGGAGCAGGCTTACACATTCTGCGTAATGGGATCGCCTAGATCCCCACCCACACAGTGTCTGACTCCAAAGAGAAAAGAGTGAATGCAGGGGCTCTCAGCGTTTGGTGCCACGTTGCATTAGCAGCGTTCAGACTGGACTCCATGGGCCTCCCTCTCCACCCCACCCCCACCTGTGATTCCAGGGCTCAGTGGGATACTGGACCAAAGGGACGTGGAAGGTCTTGCTACCCTCAGGACCAGCCCGCCCTGGGTAACGGTGGGGGTACATGGATGCAGTTCCATTGCCCGTAGCCATCCTCATCACTGTTTCAGCCACAGCAGGAAGGACCCTAATAGCTGATTTCTAAGTCTCCCAGAAGTCAGGCGGACGTTGGCCCTGAGAAGTAAGTTTGCAATTACACTGCAGCGATCTCGTCAGCTCCCTTTGGCCGTTGTCCATTTTGCAGGCCAGGAGGAGCACACTTCTGGAGGAAGTCTGGTTGTGAGTGATAAGGGGTCCCACAGAATCTGAGCCGAGCCTTGGGTCTGCACTGCCGTGGACCGTGGGTCCAAATATGGCGGCTGCCTTCACTTCCTTTGTCCCAGGGGTGAACATCCCCTCGAAGTGCGACTCTCTGCTTCCGAAACTCTGGTGGCTTCATAGCCTCCATAAACCTAAGCCAAATCCTTGCCCTCATGCTTCAGGCCCAAGTGAATGCACTTTCCCTCTGCTCCAGGGAGGGTCCCGGCCACCTGAAGTCTCCCTAGTTCCCGGTTTGCTTCTGCGTACCCTGTTCCCCGTCCTCCGGGACGCGTGCACTTCTCCCTGTCTGAAGCCCATCCAGTTCAAATTCACCGTTCAAGGCCCATCTTCCAGGGCCCTGTGCTCTCTAGTTCTCTCCCAGGACTCCCTGATTTTTGTTTCCCAGGCTCTTCATGGTTTTTCCTTACCACCGCTGTCCCCCAGTGCTCTGCCCAAGGTCCTCTTATTCTGCACTGTGCCCCTGGGGACGGCATGAAGACTCACAGCCTCCACCCCTACCAGTCTGCTGGTGACTCTAAAATCAGCCACCCTTCCCCCCTGCACTTCCAGACTTTGGTGTATTTCCACGGGGGTATCTCAAAAGCATCTCAAACTTAACACACATAAAGCAAAACAGTTACCGTCCACCCAAGCCTGTTCACTCTCCCGAAGCGCATTTTCACCTAAGTTCTCACTGTAATTCCTTCTCCTCTGGACTACTGCCGTCTTATTAGTTGTCCCTCCCACTTCTAGGAGTGCCTCCACCCATGGAGTGGTTTGCTGGAGCGACCTTCCTAAGAAATGGACACCATGGCCAAAGGCTCAAAGCTTCTCAAGGGATCCCCATCTTCTCTCAGCCCCTGGCTGTGCCCACTCATGGGACGACAACCTCTGCACCAGCCAGATTCTGGGCTACCTTGGAAGGAGGCTGGGGAAGGGTTAGAAGATCCACCCCCGCTGGCAGGGGAGCGCTTCACAATTTGTCTTTCGGCCCCAAGTCTGGCATCCACTCCCTCTACGGGGACCTGAACTTCCAGCAAGCCAGAATCTAGACATTCATTGGAGGCAGAACACCGCAGAGAATTTTAGCTTTGACCCCCATCTGTTTCCTCTTTCACTCACCTCTTGCCTAATTTCTCTCTCAAGTGTCCTTGGGCCTCTATTCTAGGGATGAGCAGCTTTTCTCATTGACTAGCGTCTTGTGTTGCGGGAAAGTTCTTCCTGCTACTGAGTGGAAATCTGCCCAGATCTGCAACTTCTGCTCTCTAGAGCCAATGAGAGCAAGCCTGCCTCCCGTCTGATACCCTAAATGCCCTTCAGAAGCCCAGAAGAGGCTCTCTTCTTCCCTTTCCCCTCTCCTCAAAACTCTCAAAATCCTCTTCTTTCCCTTCCTCTCTTCTCTGACCCCACAAAAAAACCCGCCCCCGTTTCTCTGCCAGCGACATTCCCTTTCCATCCCTGTGTGTGTCTGGCTCTCTCTGGGGTCCATCCATGGGTCAGTGTCTGTCTTGCCCAGGCCTCTGCTTTCCTGAGAAGCCTTTACACGTGTGAGCGTGTGAGCGTGTGTGTGAAATCTGTTTCTCTCCTCACACACTCTCACTTCCTCTTGCTCCTTTCACAAGCAAGTCTCCCTTCACTTCTCCTTTAATTGGCCATGATAAAATGGAGAAATACACTTATTTCCCATGTAGAGTTTCTGATTCCCATTTTTTAACAGTAAAGGGAGTTGAGGAGAACATTTCATGCTACTCCTTTAGAGGAAGTCCCAACTCAGTTGCCGGTCCCTCTGGCTCTTGTCCAGTGTGGGCCGTGGCTCTCCATGGGGACCTTATATCAGAACTCGGTGTTCCTTGTCTTTTTCCTTTGCGCCTTGGAGTCTGATGTGCTGGTATTTGAAGTCCCAGTTCAACTATTCACCTTTCGGAAAATTCATTCAACTGAGCCTCATTGTCTAAGATGGAGATGAGAATTTATATCTCCAAGAAACATGGTAAGAAATAAACGCAACCAAGGATCCAGCACACAGTAGGTGCCTAGAAAGTGTCGGTTTCCTTCCTCCTTCCTTCCTTCCTTTCGCTGACTGGTTATATGACAAGTTATGTGACTTACAGCCAAGCCCAGTGACTATTTGGGGGCAAGTCATGCCCCACAGCCCCTGGCATGGTGGGCTGAAGCCACATGCTGCTTCTAGGGGGTTCTCTGGGTCACTGCCCACTGCCATTCCATGCTTCTGCCTGGGTGGGCGACCAGAAGGTCAAACATCGGTATGTCTGGATTCCTCTCTCTGTCTTGCTCATGTCTGTCCCCTGCCCGGGGGAGGAGCATCGTCCCACGCTGTGCCAACGCCATACTCACCGGCAGCTGTCCAGCCACACGTCCCCACCACGCAGCCAGGCCCCATGGTCCTGGTTCTTGTAGGCAGTAAAGTGCTTGATGATGGCCGGCTCCCGGGGCTTCAGCGGGTCGGCGTCCTGGTGGGGGCTGTATCTGGAACACAGCACGGGGGGGCACAGGTGGCCGTGTTGGGGGGACCACTGAACTGACTGCCTTCTGGGCAGTGAGTTTCTCTCTGCTTATGGTGCCCGGAAGACTCGGGCTAAACAACAACCGACTCGCACCCCCTGGGCTCTGCAGGGAACTTCCTGAGCTTGCTGAGGAAGTCAGAGGTCTTTTCCCCAGGGTCCAGCCCCAAGCATCCTACAGACATGTCACTTCTCTTGTTATCATCACCACTGGGGAGCCCCGCCGCCCCAAGGAGGGGTCAAATCACAGAAGGAAGTTCAGACAGCCAGTCCCAAACCTGGCATGTAACACAGCCCTGTGGCCGGGAAGGGGAGTCTGAGGTGCCCAGCTCTCTACTCCCCTGGGGGTAACCTTGACCTGGTGCCTTTCCTGGGCTTCTACATCTTAGCCACCAAATGGAGCACTGAGCCTGGATGCTCCTGATGTCTTCCACGTCATGTCTTCCATGGACATGATCATGTCATTGGTGTTACCCACTTTTATTTATTTATTTATTTTTTTGCGTTACGCGGGCCGCTCACTGTTGTGGCCTCTCCCGTTGCGGAGCACAGGCTCCGGATGCGCAGGCTCAGCGGCCATGGCTCACGGGCCCAGCCGCTCCGCGGCATGTGGGATCTTCCCTGACCGGGGCACGAACCCGCGTCCCCTGCATCGGCAGGCGGACTCTCAACCACTGTGCCACCAGGGAAGCCCCCGGTGTTACCCACTTTTGACACAGACCAAGCACTTGGTCTCCTTAAAGGGTACTGATTTTCCTAACTACCTTGAGGTTTTGACAGCATCTCTTAAAAGTAGCTCCTGGCCTTGGGCTGAGCTCCAGATGTACTTATAGGTACAATCTGAATGTTCCTTCCTATTAAATTGATAGCGAAATTCCTCCCTTCTTTTCTCTTCACCTTTTTATCCTGGTCCAACCTGCTGGGGCCCTGGCCAGTCCTGTCAACTTATCAAAAAGCAGGTATTGGATTTTGCTGATTTTTTTAGAAACCTCTCAGAATTTCTTTTCCCTTCAGCTGCTGAAGCCTCAGCCCTGACTCAGATTTGGCCCTGCTCAGATGTTCACCATGGTACACCCAGCAACGAGCTCCATGCGCAGCACATAGAACGTGCCCATAGAATTACCTGGCGGAGATAATGGAGAGGAAGGGCCGCTTGTCCTTGGCAGAGGCCTGGGTAGTTTTGACTCCGTTGTCTATGATCATGCCAGCCTGGGGAGAGGGGACATTCAGGGACACATGAGCTCGGACAGCAGATTGCAGGCATCTTCTCACACCCAGCCTCACTGCGTACTCTCGAATGCTCCAGTGAAACCAGCTTCGCTCTCAGGACGCGTTAATAGAAGTAGGGGGTCTGCAACGAGGGAGGTGAAGAACCTGCATTGCTCTGCATTGCTCAAGTCAAATCTGGAATAAGGTGTCCTCTTGGAGGCACAGATGAGGACCCTGAGGTTTAGAGGGGTTAAGTATCTTGTCCAAGGCCACACGGCGAAGTCCATGCCCCAAACTCACACTGCATTGGGCAGTTATAAGCCCAGGCCCCAAATTAAGGATGACAGATATGATTTCTTGGGAAATGTGTCTGCAGTGATGCAAAGAAGATGCCGAACTTAAGTCCCGTCTTTACCTTGGGGCAGGGGTCTGGGAGCCTTCCCCAGTCTTGTCTTGGCTGTCGCCTGACCCAAGGAAAGAACCTCGCTTTCTTATTTGGCTCCAAAGGTGTCCACTTTGTCAGCCATGGGTGAGTGGGGGTGAGGCTGCCCAGTGAGGCCCCATTCAGTCCGCCTTCAGGGCTGGATTCCCTTGGCCTCCTAGGGAGGCTTGGACTCCTTATCTCTTCTTTACAGAACTGGACACTGGCTATTGTGATCTTCAACTGACTTCTAATTAAGCAGTGGTGATGTGAGTCAAGAGAAGTGGGACTTGATTCCCGGTTGTTCTCTCATGAGCTAGGACCTCGGGTAAATCTCGGGCCTCAGTTGCAGTCTGTGTAAGATGGGATGATAACATTGAATTCCTGCTGTGAGGACCAAATAAGAGAAGCCATGTGAAGAGTCTGGGAGCAGGACCCTTACACAGTGGCACGGAGTCAGGGCTCACCAGGTGTGAACACCACGCGCGGGGCTCCTCCTTGGCTCAGAACCCATCCAGAATCCAGGCAGCAGAATCCATCCGGCTCGAGGATCCTCTTTGCTCCTTTCCCACCCTGCCACCCCCGAGGGCCCCTCCCTCCATCTGTGGCCAGGAGTCCTTGCCTAGTTCCCTGTTGGAAACCATCCTCCCTCACGCGTTCCTGCCCTTTCCAACCTCTCCAAACATCCGGGTACTGCGTGGCCTACCTGCGGCTCATAGGAAGGCTTCTCAACGAAGGGATCTCGACAAGGAGTACTGCCCCCTGCTTCCCACAGCCCCCAGAGCCTCTGCACCTGCTCTGTACGGAGACGGCTCTCCCAGGCACACCCCACCTCCTAGCTGTATACACAGGTCTATTCTGAAATTATTTCTCATCTTCACGGGCTTCTCCCTAGTTGAGTCTCTTTGGTTTCGACCCTGAATGCATCCATTCTCCTCTAGGACCCTCTGTTTCTTCATCTGTACCACTAGGGAGCGGACCAGAAGAACAGCCTTGACATTCGGGCCTCTACCTGCACACTGCCCCTGCGTCCCCAAGACCACCTCTGTCCCCAGCACGGCATCTCTGGTCTCAGCCTTGCTTCCCAGCTCCATTCCCACGTGCCCATGACTCTGGTCTGGATGCTGTCCTCAACTGGGGGCCCTTGACACACCCGAGAGCCCAGTCCCTTTCCCCAGCACCTCGCTTGGTGCTGGACACACAGAACTACTGATGAGCAAACGAAGATGACAGAAATGTCTGTTTTCCACCTGCCTCCCTAGCACTGCATGGATGGAGGACCCGCTTCCCAGAAAGAAAAAGCGACCAGAGGAGAGGATGCTAACGCTACCTTCATCTTCCTGCAGAACCAGGTCCTGACCTTCCCTAGCTCACAGATCAGGCCTGGCTTTTCGGAGTCACCACCGCTCCCATCCCCACCAAGTGAGCTGCGAAATCGAACTCAGGGGCCCAGCTCTGGGGCTGCCAGGAGGAGCTGTGGCTCTTCCGGCTCTCATCACGTGCAGGCCTGGGAAGAAGGACCAGCGGGCGGGCGGGCGGGCAGGCCTGGAAGGACTTACCCGGTAGTTGGAGTGTGCTCGGTTGTTAAGGAACTTTCCCAGTGGGATGTGCTCTGAATAACCTGGGGAGTACATTCCGGCCGAGGGGCCCGTCGGTACGTGGTGAAAAATGAACCAAAATCCAGTTTCCTGGTGGAGGAGGACATGGGGGGAAAGCCACAGAATTCAGCACCAGGGAGCTTCTTGTTGGATGGCCCAAACTAGGGGTGGGCCTAGCGCTATCACCCAAATGGCCCCAACGCCCATTCCCAGACACACCCGCGGGAAACAGCGAGAAGTTTGAGGCGGATATATTTTGGGGGGTGGGCGTCCATCCTGATTATTAAAACCCTTCTGTGGTCCTACTGTATCAGCCATGGGCGCCAAATGGCTGGATTTCAGAGTCACTGCCAGGGTTAATCTCCCCTTCCTGACACATAATGGGAGGGTTTCCTGAGTGTCCTTGGCTTTACCCTTTCATTCTGCAGATATGGAAGCTGAGGCCCAGAGACGGCACCTGACCTGCTCCCCAGGAAGGTAAGCAGCACGGAGGGGTGGGTAAGGGCAGGGCTGTGTAGACAGAATACCGTGTTTGTATCCTGTGCATGTCCCTGCCTAACTTTCCTCCCCACCATAGTACAAACCTCATAGGGTTGACACAAGAATTAAATTATTGGAGCTTATGGGACATCCCTGGAAGTCCAGGGGTTAAGACTCCATGCTCCCAAAGCAGGGGGCACAGGTTCAATCCCTGGATGGGGAACTAAGATCCCGCATGCTGCGTGGCATGGCCAAAAATAAATAAATAAAAGTAAATGAGCTTGTGTACATACCACACACAAAAAATAAAGTCTGAAAAACACAATTAAAAAATCTGAGCTTAGAGCACTGATGTACCAGGCATCTAATAATGCTACTGCTTACTCGTTAGCTATGATCACCAGTGTGACGAAGGGCCAGAGGCATCACTTAAAAGCAAGTCCATCTGCCTCCCAAGCTGGCTCTTCCCTCTTCACGCTAAGCCTGACTGCGTGGATACCTAGACTGGGGGCTCAGGGCACACATCTTTCAGGGTTGGCCCCGGCCGTCTCCTCTCCCCCAGCCCCGCCCAAAAAAGGGATGTTTCCGCTCACCTCGGATCCCGCAGCAGCACAGTTTATGAGGTTGTTGTTGGGATTGGCCATCCAGAAGGTGGATACAGCACTGTGGGCGGGGGGCAGAGATTGAATGGCGTCAGACAGAGGGCTACTGGCTCCCATCTTGCTGCCCGGGGCGGAGGGGTGGCCCATGTCAGGGACTCTAACATTGCTTTGATGAGCCTCTTATCAGTGATTTGAGATGCCCCCTGATTTGTTCATCTGAAACCCAGTTTTCTCATTAAACTGGGGTGCATTTATGCCTTTAACACGTTCAGAATTTGAATGGGGCATGGCTCTTGAAGGTATAAGCACGTTTGTGGGTTAAATCTGAGATGGACCCTAGAAGAAATATAAGTCAGGAGAACCCATAAAAATGGCTCTCTCTGAGGGAGAGGCCCTGGACCCAGAAGGTTGACTGTACGGGAAGCTCTCCCTCTCTTGCTCTCTCTCTCTCTCTCTCTCTCTCTCTCTCTCTGTCTCTGACTCTCTCATGTCAAGAAACAGACCAGTGCAGCTGGTGCCCACGTGTACACGCTGTGGGCTCCGAGGTGGCAGCCCGCTTCCTCTCCTCAAAGGAGCACTGTGTGGCCTCAGGAAAAGCCCGAGAACAGTGGTTATCTTTGGCCAAAAACGATGCCCGTGAGGCACACTGAGAAGGGAGAAGTCGAAAACACACTCCTGCCCTCTGTCTGAGCAGCTGAGAGCCTTGGGTGGTTAAGGGCTGTGAGGTCTAAGCCACTCGGGAACCCAGGAGTGAGAAGTCAGATCCTGGGCTGGGAAGTCGTGTGAGCACATGCACAAAGGCCCGGCGCGGTGCAGGGCAGGGAGAGGGAGGTGCTTACTTGCAGTCCTGCCTGGGCTTGGGGATGTACCCTGGGTAGGAGTCTTCCGTGATCATCTTGCACATCTTGCTGTCGCGGTCGGAGGGGAGGAGGGTTCCAGACTTGACAAGGAGGCCGAGGCAGTGCTCAAAAGTGTTGCGTTCCTCTGGCCCATCTTCCGTGAAGAAGCAGTGGCCCAAAGAATTATAGCCCACAATGTCCTTGACCTGCAGGGGTCAAGACAGAGCGACAGTTCGCCCAGCGTCGTTACTCATGTGCTCATTCATCCATTCGACAAACATTAAACAGCCTAAGCCAGGCACCAGGCTGAGAGGGGATCTGGGGGTTTGGAGATGGGCCTGACATGGGTACGACAGAGCCGTGACTTTGAAGTCCTTTCCAGCTGGAGGTGTTGCAACTGAGCCTTCATGGGGTGGGGAGAAGAACAAACTGCTAGAGGTGGGCCTGGCTGGAGACCGGGGACGAGGCCTTGTGAGCCGAATCTGGTGAGGACACGGCGAGTACACTGCTCACGAGGACTTTACGTGGAGGCTTTCACCAAGAGGTCCCACCAGAAAGGGGGGTAGGGAGAGCTCCGTCTGAGCCAGGCCAGGGGGGCTTCTTAGTAAGACTGGTTCCTCACTGTGCCGTCTCCCGTGGATGCAAGCCAGCTTTGAAGCCTGCAACCACAACGAGCCACACTTGCAGAAAACCAGAAAATGCTGCAAACTCCAGCTCTTCAATATTCTTCTTGGAATCACAGCGTCAGTGGGCCAAGTGGAGAAACCACTTGAAGACATGGAGAGACGCGGAGTACGGTCTTAGCTGTGCCCACAAGCATCACAGGCTCTCAGACAAGTCTGCCAACCTCTCACCAACACACTTTCCCCACCACACAATGGAGGAGTCCAAGTCCGGGATCTCCAAGGCCCCTTCCGGGTCTGAATGTCTATGAACTCATCAATCTGAGAACGAGAAGGTGGGTAGAGGGCCTCTGGCCTGAGCCTTAGCTCCCTTTCTCAAGCAGGACTCTGTTCACGAGCATCCCTGACAAACGGGCATCGTGCTTCACTTGAACACCCCACAGGTGAGCTGCTCGCTACCTCCCAAGGTGCCCTGTCCACAGCGGGGCATGAGGATGGTGAGAAACACCTCACTAGCGGTCTGAGATCTTCCATCCTCATGCCCACCCCCGGGGACCTGACTGCCCAGTGATGTCACCCAACCAGGGACGCTGCTGCTCCCCTATGACACCATTCTACCCACACCTAGTAAGTACCCACTGCTGCACCAGGCCCTGGAAAATTCACACATCATCCCCAAACAACTCCCCCGTTGGCACTGTTACCATTTCGAGGGGCATCCTGTACATTGTAGGAAGTTTAGCAACATCCCTGGCCCCTACCCACTAGATGCCAGCAGGACCTTCTCAGCTGTGACAACCAAAAACGTCTCCAGGCATTCATTGGGGAAGGGAGGTGACAAAATTGTCCCTGAGAAGCACTAATCAAGGGTAAACACCCCAATTCCCTCCAGAGCCTTTTCTATGGCAAATCTTACCTACTCCCCAAGTCCCAGGCAGACATGCTCTAGAAGCATCCAGAACTAGGACCCTTTATGTCCCAGCACTGGCCTGGGCTCTTATATCTTTTAATCTTGCTGAAATCTTACACAATCCTGTACTAATTTTTTTTCAGAGATGAGGAAAATGAGACTCAGAAAGGTTGAGTGATTTGCCCAAGGTCACACAGCCCACGTGTGCAAAGCCAGGGCTGGAACCCCAGTTTTCTGACTGTGTCCATTCACCCATGAGGACGGAGCACAGGCACAACTGCCCTATTCCAGGCAAGCTCTTCGTTTTCTCAAACGAGGATCGCTTCCTTAATCTTTGGTAATAGGCAAGGGCGTGATCTTGAATGCTACTCGGTGCACCAATAAGCATTTTAGTCAATACCAAGGTCATGCAATGGGACTGCTTCCTTTCCTCCTAGTGAGCTAGGAAAGTTTGTCGCAAATCGCCTGGAAAGACAAGCATGGGAGGAACAGGCAAGACAACGTGGGCATCGAGAGCAAGTTCAATGCCTTCACGTTACAGAGGAGGACGCTCAGGCCCAGAGGAGGGACATGGAACAGTGTTCAGACCCGGGCCCATAGCTCCTCTTAAATCCTAGGCACCCAGGTGCCCACCATCTGGATCACACTTGGGGTGTCCTCTTTGAATGCAAGTGAGTAATGAATTGGGTACATTCTTATTCTAACAAATGCCTGAATAAGAAATTCCCTCCAGGCCCCTTGAGGTGTGCTCTGGAGAGAAAAACCCTTTTGGAAAGGAATAAAAATAACTACTGTTTACTGTGAAATGTTTTACATACATTATCTCACTTAATCCTTATCGAAACTACTATTCCCTTTCTACTGACGGCACCGAGACTTAGAAAGTTGCCCGAGTCACTTCTCTTGCAAGGACGGATTGAGACTTGCTTCTCCATCTGTCTGATCCAAAACCTGTGTCCTAATCAATTCTCAACAGCACCAGAAAAGAAACCTCCCATCTTGTGTTGCATTTCTTGCTTCTCGTTAGTAGTGGGGTGAGGTGGCATACAGAGTCCAGAGAGAAGCATGATAAGGTCGAAGAAAGCCCTGGGCTGGGAGTAGAAGACACAAGTTCAAGTTTGGTTTCATCACAAACTTGTGGTGTCATTTGCCTGAGTGTCCTTAGGGGGACTTCTGAAATCCCTTCCAGCTCTGACATTGTACGATTGTTCTTCCTTAGAACATTTCCCAGAATTAGATACTTACACTGTGACATAGCTTGAGATGGACAGACAGAGAGAGACGACACATAGACAGGTAGATAGTAAGTAGCTGGATAAACAGGCACATACGTATGGACTTACGGGTGCCCACTGCATGCTATCCAGAAGCGGTGTGTAAGCTCCCTGCCATTCTCTTGCACAAACTGTATTTTCCCTTTGTTCTTCTGGACATATTCCCTTATGACTGACAATCATGAAAACGATTCCTGAGAGCTGTTTTAAGTCTTCAGCTGTTGTTAGGTGGAGTCTAGGCATGACATTGTGAAGGATGAAACTCCCCAGCTCTCAGGAACTGCTTCAGTTAGGGTGACCATTTAATTTATTGTCTGAAGCAGGACATTATCGAGAGTGAAAGGGGGTACCGTTGGTCGTTAATCTGGGATAGCAGGCGCAAAATGGAACTGTTCTTTGCAAATCAGGGCATAGAGTCACCCCAAGTGATGACTTCCCCCTGAAACCTGTACACAGTACGAAAAAGAAAGTACTGTTTAAAACAAATACACACAGAAATGAACTATATGTCTGATTCTGCCTTCTAGGGTGGGTATGATATAATTCATCTTAGTGAGAAACCTGGCTACAAATAGGATCCTATTAAAAGAGAGACTGTAATTTCTGAGCTTCTGCTGTTTACTTTTCTTTTCTATTTTTCTTTTCTTTTTTTTTTCTTTGAGCTGGTAAAGAAAAGAGCCTTGGGGTAGGTGGTAATTTGCTTTGCAGGGTGTGTTAATGAGTTTCTGAATATGCAAATAGAAGCTGGGAAAGGAAACGGAGAACCCAATCACTCTGCCTAATAAGGAGAAGAATGTGTTTTTTGTTGTTTTGCCCTGCAGCATGGCATGTGGGATCTTAGTTCCCCAACCAGGGATCTAACTCATGCGCAGAGTCCTAACCACTGGACTGCCAGGGAAGTCCCGAGAATGAGCTTTTAAGGCAGCCCAGGAGCAGTGGGGGAGGAGAAGGAAGGACCCCCGCAGCCAGGTAGAGGGGAGGGGAGGGGAGGGGAGGGTTTAAGAAGAGGGACCTGTTTCTCCATTTCCAGTTGATTTCTGTGCTGACCTATGACGCACCCCTACCTCCTTCCCATCTCTTTCCCACTCTGCCAGCGGAAGCCCTGGCCAGTGAAACTTTGTGGGGAAACAAGCCCAGGAGTCTGGGTTCCTCATTTGGGCTCAGGAGGGAAGGAGAGATGAGAGCAGCTCATGAAGCAAGAAATGAGTGAGACCGAATTCAAGAAACTGGCAAAAGGGGAAACCAGGGAAAGCAGAAGCCTTGCCCACAATCCCCAGAGCTCTGAGACCGGAACAGAGGGCACTGAGTTTCCCACCAAAGAGGTAAAGGAGCTCCACTCCTCTTTAGTGGAAAGCCAAAGGGAAGGTGTCTCCCTAAGGCTGGAGGGCTTGAGGACTGGCTGCAATCCATGTAGGGCGCCCCCTGCATAGTCAATGTGGCAGCCTGTTGAGGACATCCTGGTTGCTACTGGAGGCCTTTATAGCAAAGGTAACACATCTGGAGCAGTGAATGAGGTGAGAAAGAAAGACAGGACATGTTTACTTCTCCCATCCACTCTGCTGTAAAAAAGGAAAAGAGGAGAAAACAGGCAGAATCCATACCGGAGTCTCTTTTACCTTTCTCAAGAGAACTGGAATGGATTCATTGTCTTCCAGGAAGGAACACTTCGGTGACCCCCGTGTCCTGCCTCAGAGCTCAGAAACACACAGTAAGATGTAGCGTGAGCCTATCTTACACCCACAGCTGTCCACCCCGCAGATAATGTGCAGTAGCCCCTTCCTTTGAAGGCAGGCTTTGCCCCCCATCTGCCAGCATCCCGGATGCTGGTGCAAAGCCCCCCGGTTTCAAGAAGGACACCGTCAACAGTGTCAGCATCAGGAAAGGCGTTTCCCAGGCTCTGCTCTGTAGAACACTAACTGTGAAAGGCGAAGGTTGTGTGAGTAAAGGGCTCCGCGGTGAAATGAGTTTTGACATTGCTAGGATCACCAGCATTAAATGCATTTTCACTGCAACCCTGACAATGCTAGCATGCACGGTGAATCCCTAAAATGGGGAGGAAAGACACATACTCAGTGTTTGCCAAGGTCATTTAATTATTGGGTTTACTCTGTGTGCTGGGAGAGATACCTACCACTATCTCACGGAACCAGTGAGGTTTACACAGAACACAGGGAAAGGGGCACAGTGACGGTACTATTTAATATCAGTGCTAAGTATGTCACAGGCATTGTCTGCTTTAAGGTTCCCCCAAAGCCTTTGAGACGGGTTCTATCATCACCCTCACTTTACACAGGAGGACACTGAGGCTCAGAAAGTATCCATCAGTCAAGTTCACACTGGCAGGATTAGAACACAGGTTGCTACGACTCTATCCTTTTAACCTCGCTAGTTGACGGCGATCACTGTCACCACGGGAAGGGGTAAGAGTCGGATGAGGAGGGAGCGGGGGGCAGTGGGCTTGCAGGGCAGGAGCTGAGCGCTAGTGTGTGGAGTTACATTACTGAGAGCCGTCACCAGGGCTCAGGGGAACAAAAGTTGCGAAGCCCACATTTTTTGTTGGGTAACAGATGCTGGCAGAAATCTTAAGTTCAGACCACTCCTTCCAAAAGTTGGTGGTGAAGAAAGGGAAAGACCAAAGGTGGGCCGCCCCAGGAGGAGGTGGGGATGAGGGAAGCTGTTCTCTGAGGATGGGGGTACCAGTGCGTGTCTAGCAGTGGCGAGGTGGGCAGCACCTCCCAGCTGGGCACACGTAGGAACCCCTTTTTCCAACAAGCCAGTGACTGCCTGTCTGGGGTCTAGGGCACCTCCGGATTGGGGATGGCGTGAGGGAAAAGGCATTCACAATGTTACTGAGTGGCCTCTGCTCTCTAAATGAGAATACAGTCTTTGTCTGCTGTTGGCCTCCTTTCATCGCATCAGCTAAAAACATCTTTCTAAACATAGCCGTGGGTAAATCCTTAGAGCCAAAACGAAGGAAGCAAATGTGAAATCCTGGTGGAGGGAGTGCAGCTCCCAAGGCAGCCTTTCTGAACCTGGAACTGTCTGCCCCAGTGATGGAGCCTTTATAGGGTGAGGTGCTAATCCATAAAACCCCAACTCCCGTCCAGGGGTGCGGCTCTCAGAGAAAGGCACAGAATGCCCTCCGTTATCCTGCTGCCTCTTTGGCTCAGAGATGTAGAGGCCCGTACGTCGTCGAGATTCTAAGCCATGGCTGTTTGGTTTCCCCTTGATTCAGGCCACAGAGATCTGAACGCTCCAAACCCTAAGCGCCAGCTTGGCTGCCAGGCGCGGGCCTGAGCGGGGTGTGGTTGGAGCCCCGTGTGGCCACCGAGGTAAGGCTGTGCTGGCACCTCGGCAAGGCCTGTGCAAAGCACCTGGGCCACCTGGCGTCTGGATGACACCCAGGGAGCTGATGGATGCGCCCTCCCAGTCTGGTGACTGGCATCCCTGGCGGCCAGACAGGAGGAAGGCTTTGGTAGGCGGGGTCTTCGGGTCCTGAGTTGTCCAAAGCTCTGGCTCCAAAAATCTATCTCTGCCGTGGGTGCAACTCACCCACCTGGATGCTCCGGAGGCACCAGTTCCGCGGCCACTCCTCGCCCCCTGCCTTCCATGCCCCCCACACCGCTCTCCGTCCGTTGCCCATATCCATGAACTTGGACGCCTGGCCTGTGCTAACTTTCCCCACCTCTCCCCAGCCTGCATGTGCACAGAGATGCTCCCTTTCAGCGCTGCCCCGATGAGGGCCCTCTGGCTCCACCCACAGCACTTTTCTTGCCCTGCCTCCCCCTACATGAGCCCGTTCCTGAGGCTGAGACCTGGGATCACTGCTCAGAGGAAGGTCTGTATTACTAAGACGGCCCAAAGTATCGCATATATAGTTTCTAACCGAACAGGCATGGGGGATTGCCATCCTGTTCTGCACAGCGCACATGAGGAAACTGAAGACCTAAGTGAGTAAGTAGCTTGCCCGAGATCATCACACAGCAAGTGGGTGGGAAAGCACAGCCATATGTCCACAGGGCAAGTATGTGTGTGTTTGTGTGTGCGCGTGTGTGTGTGCGCACGTATGTGATTGCCCAGAGATTGAGAACAGCTTCCGCTCAAATCAACCCGGATCTGGAGTTACAGACTTCTTGTCATCTTCATATTTTTCTCTCGAGGAACGTTAGACATAGTCGAATTTAAGTTAAACTTAAGGACAAAACTTTAGAACAGATGCTTAAAGCAGGTCAAGCTCCTAAGGCTCAGCCCTGTGAGGTTTCCTCACCAACTCTATGTTGTTCTTTTCGGCACGCGTCCTCAGCTCAGTCTCCAACTGCCTTCGGTGCCTTCACTCGGCACACGCCCGTGTGAACGGGACCACCGGACGCCTGCTTCCAGGGCCCAACCTGGGCCAGGCCCCTCGGCGCGGCATGTCCATGTCCTTTGCTCCCCATCTTACAGATGTGAGGAAACAGAGGCATGGAGACGACCTGACCCAGGTCACACAGCTAGGAAGTGGCAGCCAGATGGGAAGCCACAGTGTCTGGCTCCAGAGCCCAAGTTCATCCTGTGTCTTCTACTGCATCCCTAACCTTCCAAATTTATTCGAAATCCTGTTATCTTTCTGCTTTTGCCAGAAAACATCTTCCTTTGCCTCTTCCTTGGACCCGAAAACTAATCCCATGTCTCCCAGCAACTACTCCAGCTGCAACCCTCTACCCCGCTGCTGGGGGAACCGGCCCTGGTTCCTAGCCAACATTTGCACGTGAGCCCAGCGGGCAGGGTCCCGGGTCTTGGGTCTCCCTCGTGGCGCTGGCCCCTCAGAGCCCGATGTGTTCCGTGTTATGTCCCCAACCTGATGGAGGAGGGAGCTGAGGTTGAGAGAGGGTAAGCGACTTGCCCGAGGTCCACAGCCCATGACCTGTGGAGCGGGCCCTTCTAGACTGTGCCCCCAAACCAGTGCTCTCTTCTTTATACTCGGTGGGTTTTAAGTCAGAGCATTGAAAATACAGCAACAGCAGGCATTCCTTTGTAAGAGCACACTGAAAAGAACTGAGAGGGGCTTCACCCGCCACACACTGACAGGCGTCCTCATCTTCCTATCCCCGCATGCGTGGTGGGAGGCTCCTTATGTTTGGATTAAAGCAGGGGTCACAGACTCAAATGCCCACGGAGGCCAACAGGCAACGAGATGAGTGGCCCTGACTGGGGCATTCACCGTAGGGTACTAGGAAGTGGTGGGCATGGCGTAAACCAGAGAGCGTAAGCCCAGCTACGACTTTGCCTGAATCCATTGTTGCCAGGCGGGAATGCGGGTCTCGTGTTGCCAATTCCAACTACTTTTCAAGAGGAGCCAAGAATCCAGAGTTTTATGTGAAATCTCTACATTTCTAAATGATGAAAACTAATTCAAATGGTTCTTGAAACACTTAAGGCAAGCAAAGCACGTCTGGCCACCAGGTTCAGTTTGCTGGGTGCTGTTTCGTGACATCCAGCTTAAAAGTTCATAGAGGATATGAGCTTAGTGCATTGAAAGAAAGTTCCATTTCGTGTAAAATTATCAAATGCTTCTCTAAACCAAACCAAACACAAACTGGATTCGGCGTGCAGGGTGCCATTTGGTAATGTCCAGCTTGAAAAATTTATGGAGGATATAAGTTGAATTCATTTAAAGAAGGATCAATTTAGTGTAAAAATTATCTGTGCAAATCAAGACAAGCCACACACACACACACACACACACACACACACACACCAATTTACTAATGAAGGCGTTTCTCCCAGGAGCGCTTGCTCTGATGACACTTGGTTCAACAGAAGAAAAGGGAAAGGGCCACTGCTGCCACCCAGGCAGATGCCACAGTACAGCGTCTTGGCGTGACCCCTGCCTCGTCTGCAGTTAACAGATTTGCCGTGGCACACAGTCTTGGAATGATCCGTGGGGAAACCAAGGTGCAGCAAGAGCTAGACTCCCAGTGACCACTAATTGCTCACCCATCTCTGTAGCTTGGTGCCTTTGGCAAAGATACACCCCTATTTTCTCCTTCTTCTTTGGTCAGTGACCTGTTCTCAATTGATACTGTTCTAAAATCTGAGCTAAGGATGGTTCAACCCCCAATGGCCCTGGACCAAGCGACTAGATCTAAGCATACTGCCATTGCTAACGGTCCCTGGGCCCAGCAGTGAGCAGACCGGCATGCAGGGAAGGGATGAGAGGGTGAAGGGGCTCTGGATCCCTGGCTTCCCCGGGAAGAATGTGCTCACCAACAAGCCATTGGAGCCGTGGACAGTGACGCAGCGAGAGAACGTGTGGTGGATGGAGAGGTCCTTGACATACGTGGGCGGGTCGTAGCCTCCCTTTTCATCCACATCGCCCGCCAGGTGGAAGTGAATTGGGTACTGACCCACCAGCTGCTGGCCCATGTTCTTCAGCTCCACGCCCTCCAGGTGTGCGGCCTTGAACCCCAGTGCAAACTGGGAGAGGAGAGCCCAGAGTCAGAAGGAATCCATGAGATGCTCCCTGACACCCCTCGCTGCTGCCCACACTCCAGAAATGCACACGTGTTGTCTTCAGTGTGCTTTGCTGATCCCCACCTCGGGTACTCAGTGAATCAAAGACATTCTCTGCAAATGGGTTAAGATGCCTGACTCTTCCCATCTCAAGGGAGACAGGCTGCTGCAATAACACAGGAATGTTGCAAGGCAATGAACTGCTTGGAATCAAGAGGTGCAGTGGGACCGTGCGGCGGCTGGGGCTTGCCTCAACCCTCTTTTCCTGCCTCCTAAGCCACTGAGTGTTATGAGGAAGGGATAACCCTGAGGTAATCTGGGGGAGACTGGAAAACAGCATGCCCTAGGACGGTTGAGGAATCCAGGACAGGCTGGACCTTGGGGCATTAAGAGCCCGTGCTTGGTCCACCATCTGAGGCCCTCTCCTGGCTGTAAGAAGGGGATGCTGAGCTCGGGGTCTTTGTCAGTGTGAGTTGTGGGATGCTTCACATGCTCACATCATAGTATACCCAGAGCCATTCCTACACATTCCAAAGGAACCACCTGATCACACTCAGTGTCTACACTCCAGGAGCTCACCATAAAAGCACAGTTCAAAAATGATTCCTGTCCCAAGCTGAGTTCAGCTAACTTCTACTAGAGAAGGATGACTTAAGGACATGCTAACCATGCCTTCCAAAACTAGGTGTCAGCTGGAATGCCAACTCCAGTAGTGGCTGCCCGGGAGAACTGTGTTAAGAATGATTCTGAGGCCTAGTTTGGGCAAAGTGGGAAGGAGTGCTCTGATCACTTAGGGATTACTCTCAACATGGGAAATGGGGTTGCAGCAGCTTGTGTAACATAAACCTGCTATTTCTGCTTTAGTCTCCCTAATGAGTTTCTCAGCTAAAGATTATAGCACCACCTCTGTCCCCATCTCATCCCTTGAAACTGACTGGAAACACGGAGAAGAGTTTTTGGAGGTTGCAATGACTGGGAAGCACTGCTAGCATTTAATGAGCAGGGGCCAGGGATGCTAGAAATCTTATATTAGGCCCGTATGACAGAAAAAATGGTCTTGCCTATGCCAGTAGGGCCCCCATTATGAACTCTGTAAATTTCACTCAATTATTCCTTTCAGTTAGATTACCAGAAAGTCTCATCCTTAAAGCATATGATTTTAACTTCTAAAGAACTGTCTTTACAAAACACCAAGGTAATATTGTTATTCTACCAGCTTTAATCTCACATCATTGGAAGGAATGGCCTCGTGGAGAACATTGGGGTGTCGTACGGTATTTAATATGCCAGATAAAGGCACCTCACAGAGAGATGCAAAAGGAATTCCTCTTTGAGTTGAATGCTAGGAAAACATGAGCTCCAACGAATTGATACCACTTTCCTTCACTGCGCAATGAGAACTCTGCAGCTCATCATATCTGTCTTGGTCTTGAGTCTCCACCAGGAAACTCACAGGTAAATGTAACGCTAGAACTTCTAGTTCTTCTCCCCTGCTTATCATCTTCTCCGGTTTTTTGTTTTTGTTTTTTTCTTTGGCCGCGCTGTGAAACATGCGGGATCCTAGCTCCCCAACCAGGGATCAAACCCACGTCCCTTGTGGTGGGAGCACAGAGTCTTAACCACTGGACCGCCAGGGAAGTCCCCATCTTATCTGTATTTTAATGGATCTATTGCAAATGCAAGTTTTTGTGAGTTAAATGCCCGTTCTTTTAGGAAGTGGCCAGGGTTAAACAATGAAGAAAGGGAACAGAAGCTATGATTGAAAGTTGAAAATCAGGAAGGCAGTGTGACACGTGCCATGTGACTGCAGGGTAAGAGACGTTCCTCTGTCATCTCTCTTGTTCCCAAGTATGGACATATGGAATTGCCCACAGAGGGATAATACATAAGACCCCTCCAATTTCCAGAAAGGTACCCTTCCCTTGGTCCTACCTTTTGCCCCTCCATCCCCTTCCCTACCAAGAATCCCTGCCTATAGGCTGGCATCGCTGGAATCCTCCTGGTTGGGTTGATGGCCTCAGCCAGGCAGACTCATACCTTGATGTGGCCCCCAAAGGTGTCGAAGTCAAAGAAGTTGCAGATGTGGTTGCTGTAGGGGTAGCATTCATCCTCCATCTCCCCCATCACCACGATATTCCGGCTCAGGAGCCCAACCTCGGCCCGCATGTCCACACCATCTACCTCCTCCCCAATGTGCAGGTACATTGGTTTCCCTAGGGCAGAAAGGAGGGAAAGTGGGAAATCAGAGGTACTGCGTGTGCCCACTGACTTCCAGGGCCCTGCCAGGTGCTTCCGCTGCTTACATGGTGCATGGTGGTCCCCATGGCCCCGAGTCCCATTTTATAGAAGAATGAAGCCCAGGGAGGTGAAATGACTTGCCTGAATGAAGAGGCAGGATTCACAGCCATGCATGCTTATGTCTGAAGCTCATGCAAAAATGACTATTTGTCCCTCCATTTCTGTCCCCTCTTCTTGCTTGTCCGTACTAGAATCTTCTATTTTAGCTAGACACAAGGCTCCCCGGGACAGCCACATTTCCCAGCCTCCCTGCAGGTCAGTGTGGTCAGAGGATAGCAGAAGGAGTGTGTGCACCCTTCAGGTGGCCCCTGCTCTGACATAGGGCTGGGATATGGACGCTGTAGGTGGGCCAGCCTCGCCCATGTGGGTGTGAACACACCCTGGAGGTGGCAGAGCAACGTGAGAGAAGAAACCCAGTCTCTGGATGACCCCACAGAGCTCACGCCCTGGACCGCCTACCCGTTGGGAGTCTTACAGACAAAGCAAACCCTCTCTTTAGAGCCAATGCTTTAAAGCAGTGCAAATCCATATTCTGCTGAAGTCAGCAAATCTATGTTCTACTTTCCTCAACCTCCTGTAGAGTGTGTGTCTACAACTGAATTTTCCGGAAAGAACTAGATTGGAGCTTCTGTGTCCAGCACTGCCGGGCTCTGGATGCCACTATGGTAGCATATAGAACAATGAAAGAGAGCTTGCACCCCACTCTGTGTTGACCTCACCACGAACTCCCTCCCTCCCTCTCGCTGGCCTTGGAGGAGAGGATGCTCTCTCTCTTGTACCACTGACCTCAGCCCCAGCCCTTCCCATAAGCTCAAGAGCCTTGAATCTTAAGAGCCCTCCCCTTCTAGTAGCTTCATTTCATCCCTCATTTGGGTTCATGTTCTGTTTTGAGACTCATCTAGGCCTTCCTATCTTTATTTTTTTTCTTGATGTTATAATTATTTTTGAAGTTTTTTGTTTGTTTGTTTTTTGTTTTTGTTTTTGGAGTATAGCTGCTTTACAATTAGGCCTTCCTATCTTTAAAAACTAACAATCATGGGCTTCCCTGGTGGCGCAGTGGTTGAGAGTCCGCCTGCCGATGCAGGGGACACGGGTTTGTGCCCCGGTCCGGGAAGATCCCACATGCCGCAGAGCGGCTGGGCCCGTGAGCCATGGCCGCTGAGCCTGCGCGTCCGGAGCCTGTGCTCCGCAACGGGAGAGGCCACAACAGTGAGTGGCCCGCGTACCGCAAAAAAAGAAAACAAGAAAGGTGCAGGGTGACAGGAGTTTGGAACTTTGGAACTGTCTTTGATAGTCGCCTCCACAGCAATCCCAAACTCTTCTCTGGAATAAAGAGACCTCAGGCTGCCTCTAGATTCAGCTGGTCCCTGAGACCTGCCTCGTAGGTGCTTTCTCTTCTTTTTGAGGATGTAATTGTAGAGAGAGCAACAACCTCTCATGTCGATTCGCAGCCTGAACCACTTGGCTTTCACTTGACTTGAGCAGCAGGGCACGGCTCAGCCCCGTGACACCACTGGTTCCCACGTGCAAAGGCTGTGGTTATAAAAGCCCTGAGCAGCACGCACTGATGGTGACCTCACCCTGCTCTCTCATCCCCGGGGAAGGCTGGCTTCCCTGCCCACCCCTTCACCCAGGTTACATCCCGTGGGTGGCTCTGCAGCATTTTAAAGGATGTTTGTTGTTCTGGAATTCTGCAGACTCAGGGAGATAGTGGTTTCTTTGAAGCATCTCAGTTTAAGATGTGAGACGGGTGCACGGCAAAGCTGAGAAAATATTCCCTTTGGAATTGGTATTTGCCTCCTCTGGCTGCTGTAACAACTTACCACAAACTTAGTGGCTTAAAACAACAGAAATTTCTATTCTGATAGTCCTGGAGGTCAGAAGTCCAAAATCCATTTCACCGGGTCAGCAGTCAGGGAGTTGCCAGGGCTGGTCCCGTCAGGGGCTCCAGGGGAGAACCAGTTCCTGGCCTTTTGCAGACCCTTGCAGCTGCCAGCACTCCTCGGTTGGTGGCCCCTTCCTCCAATCTGCTATGTCATCACATCTGACTCTGACCCTCCTGTACCCCTCCTTTTAAGGACCCTTTTTTTTTTTTTTTTTTGGTCGTATGCGGGCCTCTCACTGGTGTGGCCTCTCCCGTTGCGGAGCACAGGCTCCGGACGCGCAGGCTCAGCGGCCATGGCTCACGGGCCCAGCCGCTCCGCGGCATGTGGGATCTTCCCGGACCGGGGCACGAACCCGTGTCCCCTGCATCGGCAGGCAGACTCTCAACCACTGCGCCACCAGGGAAGCCTAAGGACCGTTTTGAGTCCACTGAACCCACCCAGATAATCCGGGTTCACCCCCCATCTCGTGAGCCTTAATCACATCTGCAAAGTCTCTTTTGCCACATAAGGTAACACATTCCCAGTTGCCAAAGATTAGCACGTGGACACCTTTGAGGGCTGTTAGTCAGTCTATAACAGAGTCCCTCTTTTAAAAAGTCTCAGGTAATAAAAAAAAAATTAACTTTTCAAAGAGTCTATTTACTGGAATTTACTGTTATCCCCTGAGCCGAAGGTCTGTGTCCCCTATCAAAGGGATGCCACGGATAGGGGGCTGTCAGGCCTTCAGTCTCATTCAGGGTCCTGACATCAACCAGTAGAAAGAGTTTAAAACAAGTTAGTGCTGCAGAATACCGGTGCCTCATCCTCCAGCACATCCCACTGTGGCTTCTGGTTTGGGTCACAGGGCCACGAGTCTGTCCAGTTTTAAGGTCCAGAAGCAGAGTCGCCTCTAGCACCCACGCAGGAGCCTCTCTCCCACCCCTGGCTCGTCCTCTGCCCATTGGCTCTGGGGCCTTTACAAGCAGCCAGTTACGAGGCCCTCGGGTTGGGGGGAGGTTAGGGTCTTCTGCAGAAAGAGCTTTGCCCTGGGTTCTGAGTGACCCCAGCTGGACAGAAAGCTGCACCCCGAGCACCGTCCGACGCTGATAAGGAAAGAGACTCCCACGCGCGCCAGCTCTGAACGCCCAAGGTCCAGCGACTGATACACTGAGCATTGATCGTAATTGCATCTAAGGATAGACAGTCAGACCCGGAAGGACCCAGAATGACTTTCTGTCGTCACTTAGGCCACCAGCTCCCTAACTTCACATTTGAGGAAATGGAAGGCAGACGGTGCTCAGGGCCGGCCTGGTGGAGACAGGGCGAGAATGGGGGGACACGGCTCCCGGGAAAGGATGCCCTTTCAAGCCCTTATGACTGGTGCTGGGGGCACTTTCTCTTCACCACCAGGCTCTGGCTCTGGGACCCAGTGAGTGCCATGAGCCTGGACCTTCGCCATAAGCACATGAAACGTGACACCTGTCTTTCCAGCACCTCTTTACTCTCCGTGGACCCTTGACTCTGACTTTGAGGGCTGAGCATGTCACCTGCATCCAGGCAGCAGTGATCTCTCATGACAGCCACTGGGGGTGCAGTGCCTTCCCTCTCTCTCGGGGAGGACCTGCTGCCAGGGGGTAGTCAGCAGGCGGCCTCCAGCTCAGGAGCCTCCTGTGTCTGCTCCAAGGTCATGCTCTGCTTGGGTCCCTCCCAGTGACTAAAGCACAGCTGAGGTCCTGGAGCCCGGCCGCTGCTTCCCCACGCAGGATCCCCTGATAGGCAGGCTGTGCTTGGAGGCACACGCACCCCCCCCCTTTCCCTAGTCTCCCGAACCACCCAGCTCAGAACACTCCCTGCAGGTAAGTGGGTCAGTAGAAATGGACCCTTCTTTTTTCCCAGAGCTGGGCATCTTTCCCCAAGTACTTGCAGGCTCCTGGTCTTCCGGGCCTCATGCCTCTGGGCACGGTGGACCCAGGCCTCTTCACTAGTGGACCCCCCAATGAACAGCTCTCCTGGCAACACCCAGAAAAACTTCCAAAGGCTTCCTCAACCGAGCAAAGCCACCCGGGGCCGTTCTTGGGGTGCAGAAGCAAGCACTGCCTGCCAGTGCCCTAGAGGCAGTTCAGAGGTGAACTTGCCAAAGCAAGTGATGGGGGCCTGAGGGTCTGGTCCCGAGAGGCACAGCATAGAGCCTGCTTCCCAAAAGGATGTCCCCCCGAGCCCCGCCACCCAGGGCTCAGCACGTTACAGAAGAGGCTACAGGGGGCAGCAAGCTCCGTCCTACCAGCCAGAGGCGCGGGAAAGGAGCTTCCCATGCAGCTCCGGGGGGCACAGCAGCCGCCTAGCCGCCCGCAGGATGGACAGAGTAAAACCCACACTCTTGTGGGCTTACCCGCCATCACTCCCACACGTCCCCTTCTGCTCCAGCCAGACCCGAGCACCCCATCATTCCCTGAGCAAGCTTCTGCTCGTTTACATCTCAGAGCTTTTATCGAAGCTGCTCTCTCTAGTTGGGACAGCCTCCTCCATTTGTCCATGGAGCAAATCACCTTGTCCCTCAAGGTCCAGCTCTGATGGCTCCTTCTCAGTGGAGTCTCCCCTGACTACCCTCAGCATAGCCTTTGCATCTTGGGGTCTCCCCGGTGCTGGGGGGGTGGCCAGGAAACCAGGCCAAGCCTCCTCATCTCTAGGCCATGCACCTCCAGATTTCCAACCACCCCTCAAAGTGTATGCATTTCAGAGTTCAGGAGTCTCCTCTCAATTTGTCAGCATCCCCCCTGTAAAATATGGTGTCCAGGGACTTCCCTGGAGGCTCCAGTGTTTAAGACACTGAGCTTCCGATGCAGGGCGCGCGGGTTCGATCCCTGGTCGGGGACTAAAATCCCACATGCCAGGCGACGCGGCAAAAAAAAAAAGTGGTGTCCAGGCAGGGTGCTGACCAGAGGCTTCTGTTCCTGTGGGTGGCCAGAGGGCCTTCCTCGGGGATTCAGTCTCAACACAACTGGAGAGGTGGGACAAATGCGGAGGACTGTGGCTCTGCAGCCAGGCTGTCC